AGAAAGAAAGAGAGAAAGAAAACTAATGTATGATTATAACTGTCTTTGTCTGGTCTGTCTTCTTTGTTTTAGGGAGTCAAGCCAGCTAGCTTTGATAAAGTAGCTATTCCTGAAGTGAAGGAAATAATTGAGGGATGCATTCGTCAAAATAAAGATGAAAGGTAAATGTTTTTCTACTTGGATTGAGCAGTAGAAATGGGCTGTGTTGACAGTTTTGATTGAAAATCTTTCAGGTAATCTGTAATGCATCACTACTGTAGTACAAATGTTGGCAGATTCGTTCAGTAAAGGGCGAAATCCCACCTCTCTGTGTCTGCAGGCTTAGTGCACCTGCCATTGGAATGGCACCAGGCTGCAAGCAAGGAATCTTCTGAGAGGTGCCCACCCACTATGCCCTGGGATTCAGCCCTGGAAACCCAGCTAAAACTCTGGCCTGGCAATCTCTATCTGCCCACCTATTCTTTCTTAGTTCACAGGCTGTACAAAAACAGGCAGTAGGCTATATTTGTCCATGGGTCCTAGTTTATTCACTGCTTCTTTAGTGTATAATCTATGAATGTGCACTGATTTTGCAAGCACACATTAACATTTCTTTCAGTCAAGGTCAAATTACACCTATAGTCTTTTTTCAAGTTGCACTAATTACTTTCTTTATAGAAAAGGCATACATTTTCCATTTGTCCTCTCCTGTTTAAAGAATGGGTGAAGCATTAAAATGTATTGACAGTATTTCATTTAATAATCAAGTAAAGATCTCTTGCCTCATCCATTGGCTGTAATATTGTATCATAATGATGTTTCCTTCAGATGTTTAAAAAAATGTTTCCTTTCTTTGGAGGACAAAGTGGCATGAATGCATTATGTCTTTGCATAAGAATTAAGGCTTTATTTGGGAAGAAAATATGTTTGGTTCAAATGGTAAAGTTTGAATAATCTTTGTATTTAGTTGCATTGCTTGTATACCCCTAAATCTCCATCTCACTCATGGATCCCCTAAATTGTAACTTGTTCTCTTCTTTCTATAATTATCAGATATGCTATCAAGGACCTTCTGAATCATGCATTCTTCCAGGAAGAAACTGGTGTGCGTGTAGAATTAGCAGAAGAAGATGATGGAGAGAAAATTGCTATTAAGCTCTGGTTACGAATTGAAGACATTAAAAAGCTAAAAGGAAAATACAAGGATAATGAAGCAATAGAATTTTCTTTTGACTTGGAAAGAGATGTTCCAGAGGATGTAGCACAAGAAATGGTGAGCAATAAAGGGATTGGGTATTTGTCTCTAAATATAGATTTTTGTGTTTTGGATACAGTTTGGTCCATTTGTATTTTGATAACTGTACAAAACTCAATACTTTAAAAGGAAGTGATACAGAAAGCTGTAATTCATGAGTAAATCATGTGCACAAATTCTTAAGTAAACTCATAAGTTTCTCCATTTAATACAAGAATATTTTAAATAGGGAAATAACAATACAATTCAGCAAAACTTTGAAGTAAATACTAACAACTTACATTAGCCAAGACCAGCCACATTTTAAAAAGTGATTTTCTCCATTTTGTACATTGCCTAGTTCTGGGGTATATTTCATGCTTCAGATATGGTTGACATGTATTCAGGTATAATATTATGATATTTTACTTGATTAAAAGCAATCAAATCACTTGAACACTTGATTTTTTTAAATGCAGTTTAGAATGTTTCTTGTCATGTTCCAGCAGAACTTTAAGCAAAATATTTTTATTTTTTTCTCCGGTGGATAAGATTCATTAGCAAACTTTTCTGCCATCAATCTGAGACAGATGTTTCTAGATGTAATTTCTAAAATTTACCTACATAAAATATTTGACATTTTAAAAAAAAATTCCAAAGCAAATCCATCTCAAAATGGTTTACAGAACAGGTGGTATTAAACAACAGAAATTTACATATATATAAAAGCAAAATACTCATGCATCATCATCACAAAATCTCCAGAGCTGTAAAGCCTACAAACTTGAAATTTGGCACATATGTTCCTCTTGGCTTCTAGGTGCTCACCAAGGAAGAATTTTTCGAAATGACCATCAGAGCAGTGGTATTTCGTATATTATTATCAACAAAATAAATAAATGAATAAACAAACAAACAAACAAACAAACATGCTCTACTCCCCCTCCCCACCTGAAAAGAAATCTGTTTCAAATGCAAAACATAAGCAGAGGAGAGGAGTTTCAGTTTTAATTTCATAGCAGCAACCAGCTTTAGTACAGAATAGTTGAGCTAAGCCTCACCCAGGCTCTTTGCTGTCTCCTTGCTCACATAGCAAATATTCTTTCAGTTTCCAAACAGCCCTCAACTCTCTCACACATTGACAGGATGCTAGCCAGATGAATACCGATGGATGCTGGTAGGCAGAGGCAGATTTTCCCCCCTTATTTTCTTCCCCCAAAACTAAGCCTGACCGCATAGTTTCATAGCGAAGCACAGGTATCAAGCTAGTATAAATATAAATATAAATGACATAATAAACCTTTCATTTCAAGTCTATGGAGATTATCAATCTTCCAGGTCAAGGGTCTTCAAACTTGGCAACTTTAAGACTTGTGGACTTCAATTCCCAGAATTCCTGAGTTAACATGACTGGAGGAGGAATTCTGGGAGTTGGAAGTCCACAAGTCTTAAAGTTGTCAAGTTTGAAGACCCCTAATCCAGGTCATGGTTGTCCCAAAGGTGCTTTTTCCAAAAAGCAACTGGATTGTTTTGGTTTTTTTCTTTGTAAATGTTTCCCCTTCTCATCCAGTAACTTCTCCAGTTGTAACGAACTGACTCAGTAACAATCAACCCTCAGAAAGTCTAATGACCGGATGGATGTCTGCAAAAAATGTAAACCTTTCCATATCTCACCAGTCAGTTAAAACCGAACAAGTTTCTTGGATGAGTTTTGCCTTTTGGGAAAAGCACATTTTGGACTTTCATTTCAAAATTACAAATAGAAATTAGTCCTTGAAACAATAGCTGATCGAATACATATCACACCAACATTTAATTAAAAGTGAATTGAAACATTCAAGTCTTAAAAGCATCCTGGTTTGAGTTCACGTTATGACTTCAGTGTAGGTTATATATTAATAAACAGAGGACGTTGCATCTAGATTTTCCTTCCATTCCAGGAAGCTGTGGATCAGTTGTCCTATGAAGGTGAACAATACTGGCTACTATTATAGTTGCACAAGTGGTTTATTTCTTTGATAAGATCTCAATATTTTGGGAGAATACTATGATGAGTAATTTTTGAGCCAAATATTTGGGAGAATACCATGATGGATAATTTTTAAGCCAAATATTTTCTTCTAATATTTTTGTAATAGTTAATGTTACTTTAAAACTGACAAACCGATTGTTTCATTTTTGTTGTGTCATGCAATGGGTGGAAAGGAGAGAAGCAACTTAGAACTAAGGAGAAATTTCCTGACAGTTAGAACAATTAATCAGTGGAACAACTTGCCTCCAGAAGTTGTAAATGCTCCAATACTGGAAGCAGGGGGTTGGATCTCCAAGGTCCCTTCCAACTCTGTTATTCTAATTCTAATTCTAGAAATGGCTGTCTTAGTGTAGTTAATATCATGCGTTTCTGTTCTGTGTGCCTTTTTGTAGTTTTTTTTTTCATTATGAATGTTTTTATACATTATTTTTTTTAATTGATTGCTATATGCTTCCCAGAGTCACTTTCATGTGAGATGGACGACTATGTAGATGTGATAAATGAAATAAATATATTTATTGTAATACACCATTGTCTAATAGTATGAACTGTTTTTCTTTCAGGTTGAATCTGGATATGTCTGCGAAGGAGATCACAAAACAATGGCTAAAGCTATAAAGGATAGGGTATCTTTGATTAAGCGAAAGAGAGAGCAGCGTCAGTTGGTAAGGGAAGAACAGGAGAAAAGAAAGCAAGAAGAAGTCAATCAGAAACAGCAGACAGAACAGAAAACACAAGCAGGGGCTGCCCAGCAAGGAACAAAACAGGCTGTGCCTACTACAAGTGTCACTGCCATTCCCACCACTTCAACTTCTGTTTCTACCCAAGTAGAACCCGAGGAGCCCGAGGCAGATCAGCATCAACAGGTTCAGTTCCAGCAACCCAATGTTTCTGTATTATGTAAGTACTTTCTGTACGCATCACCCAACTTCCATTTTTTCCCCACTCTTGGATAGAGGAGGTTAAGTTGTCATTAGAGATTAATGGTAATTTTTTGTAACTATGGATGCAGTTTCTGCCTTGCTATTATGTTCAGGAATAGACACTGGGTCCTACAGGGACAAAATGGTTGCAACCAAATCCAAATCACCATTGCTGGTTTCATATCTATCGGAGAGAACCGTACATTGGCAGAATCAGTTGCTGCCATTGTCATCAAATCACAGTGGGGAAGCCACTCTTTTTCTTCATCTCACATCCTCCTTACTATCACCAACATTATTATTAAACTCCAATAGTCACACAAATTGTGGTGATGTCATCTGGATGGGATCAAATTTCCTCTATTTAGAAGAGAGCTTTAAAAAAAACACAAAAAAGTTCAAAAGGCACTTTTTCCCCCTTTGGGGAAAACAATCACTCTACTGCCTACATTACCAAGTAGTCCAGGTACATTGTGAGCAAGACAAGAAAGGCTGGGAGGAGAGTTACCCAGACAACGTGTGATCTTTCCTGCTGACTCTGCTTTTGGGAAGCCAGCAGAGAAGGTTACAAATGGCAATAACATGGACCACAGATGCTGCAATTGGCCGTAAGTGCAAACTGGTTGCCAAGTGCCCCAATTTTGTTCACGTGACTGCAGGTGCACTGCAATGGTCAGAACTTCAAAGACTGGTCATAATTTCCCTCTTCAGTACCATCCTTATTCTTCACAAGATGAAGCTAAATTATTTTCCAATGCAGCCAAATACAAAATATATCGCTGTCTTACTGGTATATAAAGGGGAAGCCGTAGCATGTGGCATATGAGTCTAAATTAATCTAAGACATTTGTGACTGCCACTGCCACCCTAGCATCACTGGTTTGAATCAGATCCTAAAACATCTTCCAAGATGGAACTGCATCTGAGTCCAGGTTAAGGGTTAATCTCTAGACTGACTCTGTTTGCCTGTTCTCTTCTCCCCAAAATTACTTTCTAACCTCACTTCAAGAAATAGTCAGCTTCCTTATTCTATATGTCCAGAGAAAATACCTAATCTACTACTATCTGGAACTTATTTCCATGTAATCCTCGACTTATGGCTACAATTCAGCCCAAAATTTCTGTTGCTGAGTGAGACAGTTGATAAGTGACTTTTGCCCCATTTTACGACCTTTCTTGTCACAGTTGTTAAGTTAGCAAAACAGTTGTTAAGTGAATTTGGCTTTCCCATTGACTTTGCTTATCAGACGGTCACAAAAGGTCACCTTCACATGATTCCAGGACACTGGAACCATCAAAAATACATGCCAGTTGCCAAGCTTTTGAATTATGATCACGTGATCATGAGGGTCCTGCAATGGTCATAAATATGAAAAATGGCCAAAGGTCAATTTTTTCAGTGCTGTTGTAACTTTGAACGGTCACTAAATGAACTGTTATAAATTTGTTTATAAATTTGCCTGTATTTGTTTGACAGATCAAATATAAATTATAGTACAGTAGTACAGTATAAGACAACAAAACAATATGTGAAATTTGCATATTAGGATAGAATTAATTGACTTTTAAAAAATATTTCCTTGCTTTTCTGTGTCTGTTCCATGTGCATTGTCTTTACAGATGTTATAATGCTGTTTCCCTTGTCCCTGAAATTCTTTAAATTCGTTTGTGAGATCGTTGTATTTTCTTGGCTTTGACTTGTCTTCTTGGCAATTCCCACATCCAGTGTGCCTTTTTATGTTTCTTGATCTTTGGCAGTTGATTTTCACATCCATTTCTTTACAATCATTCTACAGTTTCTCTGGTCCTTAATCTATGAGGTTTAAGACATCAAAGTGATTCCCGATGTTCTCCTTGAAAATGATGGGCATATGTTCAAGACCATATTATGGAAACTGATTGGTTTTCTTCTGCTGCTAAAATTTAACTTGAATCTAGCATATGAGCAATTTGTGATCTATTTCATAGTCATGTATTTGCTATTAATAACTAGGCTCTTGCATTTCCTTCTACCAGTTACATAATCAATTTAATTTCATCTGTGTGTACTTCATCTCAAAATGCCCATCTATATATTGGCATTATTTTGATTGTTTGAAGAATGTGTTAGCATTAAATATCATTGGATTGGCAAAAATTAATAATTCTGCTGGGGAATGGACATATATAGGAAAAATTAATTCCTTCCTCTTCTCTTAAGATGGTTTACCAGCCAAAGTGGTGTTTCTTTTATAATTATGTCAGAGACACAAAATGTATGATTTCTTTTTTGGCTTACTTGGCATCCTTCAGCAACACACAAAGGCTGGAGGAAACTTTAGGTAAATCACTAGAATTATATAAGCAAGAAAAAGACCAAAAAAGGAAATTACACATTGGTGTCTCAGTTATTTTCCTCCAAATTATAATTATCTCCCAAGTCCATGAAGCTCACCTCTAAACAGCCTGATACAACTTTTGATCTTAAGCTAGACTTTTATATCATAAACAAAATAGTTACTACTGCCCAGGTAACTAATATCTGTCTATCATCATAACTATATAACTCTGTGTGACTAACAATCAGTTTACAGAAAGAGAGAGAGAGAGAGAGAGAGAGAAGATAAAAAGGATCACCAGAAGCACAAAATAGTTCAATACAAAAGAAAACTAAGGCACCATATAACCAGTTCACAGAGACACATGTTCCACTAACATACTGGCTCTGACGGGGTGGGAAGATACAAGGTTTAACAGCCTTCTTTAAGGTCAAGTCCCTCAGATACAAAAGGCATGGTGTCTGGGTTTCTCTATGATTTGATTGGAATAAATGGTAAAAATATTTCCTAAACTTGCCTAGAGACTACAATTAAAAATATTCCCCTGGAGCTGAAGAAGAGTGTTGAATCATTATTGGAGAATTATTATATATCTCCTTGCTATTACTCAGTCTGTTTTTGAATTGCAACATTTTTTTTTAATTCAAAGACCCACTGGCAGAAATCTTATGCTATTATTTTTATTCAGCAGGATTTGAAGAAAATAATAACCATAGTAGTAGTAATATGCGTCCTGCAGTGCTACCTTTAATGCGATTGAAGAACAACATCTACCTATCCCACCCAGGTCCTTGGGAAGGACTCTAGGTGGACAAAAAATGCCAGATATTGTGTAAACACCTGGCTGACTGTGTGACAAACTGTAGTAATGGTAATAAAAAGAATGGCGTATATCTCTATAGAATTGATGTTGAAAAATTTGGGGATATAAAGAGTTTTTCTCCATTTTTTGTATATTGAAATCAGTGACCCAGTAAATAGAGAAATCCAAAATATTAAAATAATTTTACTGATTATTTTACTGAGTGGTTTTATTGCCTGAAAAGTGAAATCAAATGAAAAGTATTATTCCACCTGATAATTTCAGATATGAAAACTTGAATGCTTCCTTTTTCATGGATGGAGCATGGTGGAGTGGTTGTTCCCTAAATATAAATGAGCTATTTCTATATTTATTGGCAAAAGAATGCATTCTTAGACAGTGTTCAGAATGAGTACTTCTAATTGTGGATTATCTGCTGTATAGATGAGGAGCTGCATGATGGTAGATGTCTGCAAATCCAAACATATTTACAGGATGGGGGTGGGTGGGATGTCCAATGTTTGGTTGAAATGGCTTGTTTAAGAATTTGTTTAAAAATTGAGAGCAATATTTATTTAACAAATAGCCTTTGCTTCATGACAATTCATTGAATGACCATGCAAAGTTTCAGTGGCCCTAGTGCTGTGGTGGGGAATGAGTCATACTGGTCCTTGGAAGTTCAATCGTTGCAGCGTCCCACTATCATGTGATTGTGATTCGAGTGGCAAGTGGCTCGCGCTTATGACAATTGCAGCACCCCACAAGAATGTGATCGCCAGTTGCTGCTTTCCTTGCTGGCTTCTTACAAGCAAAATCAATGGAGAAGCTTGAAAGGAAATTTGCAAGTCTCCTCCCTCCATGGGCCATCCTTTCCCCTGTCTTCCTCCATCACTCCACCACATATAATTTTGATTATAGTAATTTATTTAAAATGTAGTAATTAGATATGACTTAATAGTCTAAACATTTTAGTGTCAACATCCAGCCTGAGTATCCAAATTCAGTTTCTATGTGCTATCTTCCTTCAGCACATCACATTCAGCATATTAAGTGGAAAGAGAGAGAGAGAATGAAAATGAGAATGTTCTTTGCACCTTACAAGACTTGAACTTGCCTTTAAGTTATGAACCGGTATCTAAAAATCATATTTATATTGTGTTTTACAGCTGATGGCACAGTTGACAGTGGCCAGGGTTCGTCTCTCTTTAGTGAATCATGCTTGAGTAGCCAGCCGTCGGCTTCCTTCACTTCCCAGCATGAACAGTCTCTTCCAACACTTCCAGCCTCAGGATATTCAGTTCCTGTTGGCCAGCCACAGTCACAACAGCCTGGAGGATACCAGACCTCTACGGTGGTAAGCATAAAATTAAGCAGAATGACAAGAACCCTAGAATCTTGTTCCATTTCCCTGGGTGTCTTTAGACCGTTAGGTTTTCAGTCTGAGATTGTTCAAAGGTAATAAAGAAAACTGTGTGGGCAAGCCTGTTGCTTGCCTTTCTCTAATATTGCTTTAAAATAGGAATGTTCTGAAAGTAAGCATGGTGAACTGAATGTGAAACATTTGCTTACTGGCAGTAAGCAAATACATAGAGGTATTTGAAGCTGTAGTTAGGTTCAAACCTTATTGAACTGTGGGTGGAAGAAAAATCATGGGATAGAGTTTTTGACCAAATGATGACATTTATAAAACATGTGTTATGTGAATGTGTTGCAAGTTCTTTACTGCAGCTAAAAAAGGTAAGAAGTATTAACCATTATAGAATGCTGCATGTAACCACTTCAGTTTTAAGTGAACCTTATGTCTCCATTTATTTATAGCTCCCTTTTAATTGCTTATGGGCACAGTTACCTTTCCCACTTCATGTGTTCATTTGTGTTACTCTATAATTTCTACCTTTCTCTGCTGGGTTTTCAGAACTGCCATTGGGGCTCTTCTAGAAGATCTCACCTCCTATTCTATTCATTATACTTTTTTAATGAAAAATGCTACTTGTAGAGTCTGTACTGACAAAAATTATAACTGGTTATAGATTCTGACCCATAGCCAAAGATTGCAACATTTGGATAATCATATATTCATTTATATCATATTGATGCAGGTAATTAGAAAAGGTAATCTTTTGCTAGAAGAGAAGCATCGCCATACATTTCAAATGCACTTATGAAACTTTGTGCTCTTTTAATCCAAATGCAACATTTCAGTTTTAAGTTTGACATACATACATTTTAGTTCCTCTGATTCCATTAAAAATATTGTTTAAACAATAACCCCTATTAAACAATCTTCACATTCCTTGCTTCAGGGTTCAGTAATCATAAATAATACCAAGAGTATGTTAATAGTTCTTCTGAACAGGCCAGTTTCAAATGACAAATAGATTTCCAGAAAAGAAAAAAAAAGTAATTCAGTCTTTTTGGGAAGTTACAGTTTTGAGGGAATCTCATGGAGAGATGACTTGGGAAGAAAATAATTAAAAAGCCTAAAAAAAATGTTTGGTGGGAAGAAAAACAACAACCCTGGCTTCTGGAAGAGCTACTACACAACTTTTTAAAAATTCTAAGTTGGTTCAATCAACAAAATTTGCTTATTTTGTTGATTGAACCAACTTGGGAATGTAAGCAGATTATAGTATCTTTATTTTCTAATGAATTCTTCTACAATATTGTTCATTTTTCAAATTTGTTTTTAATCTTAAAGTCAAAACGTGCAGGTTAAAATGTGAATCATTTTGTGTCGTATAATTCTTAGCTGAATAAAGTTGTAGAGAGATCCTGGCAAGGCTTTATTTAGGAGGCCATTCCAGTTCAAAAAGAATCAACTGAAGTGAAGAAAAGTGCAATTTAAGGGGGGGGGGGAGAAGATAATATAATATAACTAGAGACAGTTATATTATTAACATTTAATTGTTAACACTTGGAAGAAAGAGCTCTTCTTCATTAAGAGCTTGTTTTCTATGCCTAAACAGAGTAAACCTGTAATGGATCCCTGAAACACAACCTAATGGAGACCTGAATTTGGAACAGATGCTTCTTTCTACATACACTGCTTGCTAACTATTTTGTAGTAGATTTAGTTTTAGTGAAATGTAATAGTCAGAGAAAAACCTGGAGGCCTCTAAAGTGCACGTATTAGTTTTGTGTGTGATCTCTATCAAGTTTCTTCCTAACCCTGTCTGTTATAAACAGTATCAGTCTTCTGCCATGATTATGTCCCTGAGTTTCAGTTCATTAGTCAATGTCATTTATGCTCATTTCTTTTTCTTTTTTTTTAGCCTCAACATGGCTGTAGCATGTCAGTTTGTGCTTCCACTCTTTCCCCCTCCTCCCTTCCCTCCCCGGTCCCTCCCAGTGCTCCTTCCACCCTGGCATTAGCGTTGTCTGCACCTCTTTCTTCTTCCTATCTTCGGACTACCCCGCAGGAAACTTTTGGTGAAAAGCTTTCCAAAGCCCTGGAGAGTGTCCTGCCCATGCATATCACCTCTCCACGCAACCAGCGGCGCTCCAGCCTGCCTTCCCTCTTTGTCAGCCCTGTATGTCACTTTCCTGACACATTAAGATAAGTTACCACTAAATACATCCTGGCTTCTAGTATTGGATTAGGATAAAAAGGCACCATGGTTATTCTGTGCTATAGGAAAGCTAATTCCTCTCCTTCCTGAAGTTAGAAATTAATTTGTTCAAAACTTTGGGAAAATGCTTAAAAGTATCACAACATTTATAGGATGAATCTGAAAATTATTGTATTATTTCAAAAACATTTGAATGTTTTCTCAGTTGGGATAATAACCAAAGGTAGACAGTACAGTTGATTCTCATTATTTGTGGATTCCATAATTGCAACTTTGCTTACTTGTTAAAACTTATTTGTAGTTGCAAAATTAATAATTGGGCAGTTTTATGGTGATTCATGGACATACACAGCAGTGAAAAATTTGAGTCACCCAATGCACATTTTTCAGGATATGCTAATTCTGTATTTGTGATGATACAGCATAACTTCTGCAGATAATGAGGATCCTCTGTGCCAGGTTTTCTGGCAACCACATGGCCAACTTTTCTTGACATAGTATGAAATGGTTTATCATTCCTTCTTTCAGAATTTTTTTAAAACACCCCTACAGTCCTGGATTTCCTAGCAGTTTCTATTTAAGCACAAACCAAGGATAGTACATCTTAACATTTTCTCAGAATTGGCCTCAGTCAATTGGGTGCTTCTATCTGTTATATGTTAATAATTCTGAAAGTAGCTTTTATTTATTATTCAATCAATAATTTACAGCCCATCTCAAATGACTTTGGGTGACTAACAGCAAAAAAAACCAACTCTAGATACTTTGCAGCCAAATATTAAAAACGAAATAAAACAAAAAACTGTCAATAGAAATACAAATACATATATTTCAACAAGATTACTAAATTAATTCAGAGTCTGGCAGACTTAATAACTGTTATATAAGTTTGTCTGGTTGTGTATACATGTGTGTATGTTCCTTTCCCTAAAATGGATTTTTTTTAAAGTACATTTTTATTAAGTTCAAAAAATAAGACAGTAGAAAGAAAGAGAGGGAAAAAATAACTTCCAACTTTCTTGCATACAGTGCATTGCAAAAATAATACATCAATCTTTTGCTTCACATTTCAAGCCAATTCTTTAATTACAAAATCATTCTAATCATCAAAACCTAAAGTTTCTTTTTCTCAGTTTCAAGCAAGATACTGGGTTTTTTTTAATTAAATCAATTAGGAGAATAATCAAAATAATCAAAATTCACAAAGGAAATGGAAAATAATAAACATTACCTCTATAGTAGATCTATAACAAATAGGACCTGTAACAAAATACTGTACCATATTATTAATCCTCTGATGCATGATGATTTTTTAAATCAAACAATACTTCATTTTAAACTTACTTGCACTGAAATATAATTTGCTTACTATGTGGATAACTTTTGGGGCCATTTGCTTTAATTACCTGTATAATTTTCACCTGTAACTGTTGAGTCTTTCGTGCTCTCTGAGCTTGGTTGTTTGCAGATGTTTTGTTACTAGACAAGATAACATCTTCATTGCTTTTAATCTGTCAACTTCATGATTTCACTGCTCATGCTTCAAGTCATTTATGAAGAAGGTAAAATCATGTATGTATATTTGGCTAGACACAGTAGTAAAGAAGTAGACAATGGAAAGAAGGCAGAAACAATTTTTAAACTTCATCTGTTCTGGAAACAACTGCTTGCTCTACTATCATGGGGGCTAAAGAAAATTATTCTCAAGTCTCATATTTATGGACTTTAGGAAAGGTAGAAGCTTCTTCTTCCTTAAGCCCTGTTCCTTTGTGCCATATGGGCCCCCCAGGTCTACTCCCAGTGTAGAGTATTTTATGCACTGAATGTTTTTAATTTTAGTTAAGAACAGTAATGGGTTTTTTGTTTAATCTCTGAGTAGCAACTAGAGGTAAAAGTAAAGCTCTTGTGATTCAAGTTCAATATCTTGCAACTATATGGATATATTTTCTTGGCAACATATACAGAAGTGATTGAAATTATTATTTTTAGATAAGGAGAGGAAATTAGAATCACTTTCCTACAGTACAAACAAACATTTTCCTCCCTCAAATGATATGCGATACTAATTGTCACTCTATATTTTTACTATGTCATAGGAGAATTTGCTGCTGCTTTTCCAGAACAATTGAAATTTGGTCTCAATTGACCCTATTAGTATAAAGAAGAAAAACTGAGCATTTTAATCATATTGGAATATGTTTAACAGAGAGTTTTATAAGAGATAACATATCCATCCTGGAATAATAAAGTGCAACATTTGACAAATGTAATCCCTTTGTTATAACTAGGTTTTGGAGGTGTGAAAACAATGAATAATCTCTAAACTTTTCTTTTTGCTGCAGTTTAAAAGCAGATTCTCTTCCTATTTAGACAACTATTTCTCAGGAGGTGTACTGTAGTGCAAAAAAAATTGTATTAAGAAATAATGGTTTTGAAGCACAAATCTAACAAAATGTATTTATCTTAATAAAAAAATGGCTTCTAACATTGGAAAAATGGCTTCTAACAAAAGCAAATATTCCTATAGACATCAGTCTCTGCCATGGATGTATTTAATGGATTTGCATAACACTTTTTGTGTCTTAAATATGACCTAAGTGCAGCCATTCTATAAGGTTATTAAAGAGAGACATTTATTGGGCTGAAATGGTGATATGTTTCTGTAATGTCTGAACTACTTGTCTTGTTCATGTCAATACAGCCTCAGTCCATGATGCATCGGTATGGACTAGATTCCCAAGTAATTTTTTCTACCATTCATGAACGGCCAGGCTCTTTCTCACCACCACCCACCTGCCCTTTGGGGGTGTCCATTTCTCAACGACGCAAAAGTACTTCTATCCTTGAAGCCCAAACTTGCCATTTCCAGCCCTTGTTCAAGACCAGTCAAAATCTACTTCTCCCTGGTGGTAGTCCAACAGTTTGGACACCAGAGACATTAGCGACAATGAGCACAACTGCTCATAATTCCACAAGAGAACACATTCAGGCTAACACTGTGTTGAACTTGACTCAAACCTTGAACGATTACAGACCTGGACAAGCAATTTCGGAAGATGCTACAAACACATTGACCCAAGAAGCATTATATTTAGTGGGCATGCACTATCAATCTCAATTACCTGAACACTGTGAAACACTATCCTATAATGCTCAAGGAACTGAGCTAAACTTGCTGCAAGCTCCTGAATTGAGAAACGTACAAGGTGGCCCTCTTCAAAATTCTGCTTTTGAATATCAAACCGGGCAGACGTTTTTGGCAAGACAAATTCAAAATTTGAGATTGGATTCTGGAATGAATCCATTATTGCCAGTGTCCGGCATATCAACCCCATTGAGCGCAGACGTCATACAGATGAATTTTCATCCAGTCTTTGTTCCACATTCTGCACCTGCTATACTCTCTCACAATGGGGATGGTCAAACAAGTGTGTTTGAGTTCCATGTTCAAACTCCCAGTGTAACTGCAGGAGAAAGTACAACTTTATCTCAGTGTGTATATAGAAATCGTCACACAGATTTTAACCAGGAGGAGTCTACTCAAAGAACTTTGCAGCCTGTTCGCCTTCAGCCTGTAAAAGAGGAACAGAGTAACTATATGAGTTCTGAGTTCATGATGAGTAGAGGCAGTTCTGTTCTCCAGAGCTGGCTGGAAAGTAGCCCAGGGTATTCCAGTGACTCATCACAGTTAATTTCTTCCGATACTAGTGATTTTCTGTCGCCCCCTCCGAGTGGGACATCTGTATCATATGCCACAGATTTATCTTTTTCTGCTTCCCAAATGGCTGAGAAGATATTGCCAGATTCACAGGTCTTCATCCACTTTCCACAAAGAACTTCATCTGAACAGGCACTGTCTGCATTGTTTTCAACAAGATCATCTACATTCTATTCTCAGGTTACCAGTACAAAATGCTTCCAAATGTTTTTGGGGGGTTTTAGTGTTACCTTGGCACTATAGTATAAGATTCCTTACATTCCTTTCTCCCTTCCCAAGATACTCTGGTACTGAAGGACAGATTGTTTCTCCAGGAATGTTTTTCCTGTTAGAACCATTCTAGTCCTATCTTTTTAGGAACATCCTCGGTGGGACTCTTATGTGTAGTGTGTAGTAATTGTAAGCAAATCTTGGTTGTAGGGCTGGGTAATAGGCTATGGTAAAAAGTTATTACTTCATTGCATTAAAGTAAAAATCCTGTCTTTTTACTTATCTGAAGCTGAGTTTGGAAGCTCAGGTAAGTGATATTTACAGCTTCTTTTCGCCATCTGAAAATGAAAAATCTGGGGAGTTTGGATGTTTTGAGAGATCTTAGAAGCACTCAAAAATATCCTTGTTCATTTTTATAAAAAATTAATCCAGCATTTCCTTATTCAGATTGTATATTATGACTGCTTAATGTAAAATCAAGAGAAATGATGGTTCACATGTATGTTGTGCTTATACAGAACATCTAGATACTTTGAACTTTGTAATATAAATGTGCTGTGAATCTTTAATATTTAGCTATATAAAATTCAGGTCAACAAACCACTATAAAATTAATTAGGAGTAAGTCCTATGAAACTTTTAAAAAGCTTATTTTATAGAGAGAATTGTACTTACTGACTTTATGTTTTGAGGTTACAATCTTATACCAGCTTACATAGGACTAGGTTCACCACAGGTAGTCCTTACAGGCATAATTGACCCTGAAATTATGATTGCACATTGTTGCGGTAGAAAGTTAAGGCATCATGTGACTGGACCACATTTTTGTGGTAGTCATTAAGCAAACGTCGTGGTCATTAAGCAGATCAATTTTCTCCAATGGATGTTTCTTGTCAGAACCCCAAAATAAGCATCAGACACTGGCAAAAGTGCAGATTACAGTTATGCGACTGCAGGATGCTGCTAATGCCCCTAAATGGGAGTCAGTTGTCAAGTGCCAAAATTGCAACCACGTGATTATTGGTGGTTGGGGGGGGGGGTTGTTGCATCATAACTTCAAAAACAAGTTGTAAGTAGCTTTTGGGGGATCTATCATAATTTTTAACAGTCATTAAGCAACCAGTCATAAGTCAAGGACTACCTATAAACAATATGTGTCTGACCTATAAATAAATATGAGTTGGATTACATAAGGTATCGCTCAGAATCTAAAATTGCATTACTTTGCACATATGATACTTTCATAGACTACCACATGTGCAAATTAATGCAATTTTAGATGCTGAGTGATATATTATGTACATATACTCAAATATAAAATTATCCACTTCAACAAGAAAGTAATATTTTGTTCCCCAGTTTTCCATTTTCCAAGATTCTGCCTTCCTCCCCCAACTTAAACATTTCAGGAAATTTTACAACCAATCCATAATTGGCCCCCGTTGAAGATATGCATAAGGAGTAATAATAGTGATACATGGGTGTCTGCACTATCTGCTCATCTTTCTCCTTGATTAAACTAAATTAGTTGCTGATCAGTGTAGTCAAACTCTGACAATAAGACATCAAAGCACCACAGAAATACATAAAACTTGCTTAATTAGACAGTAGTAGAACATATCACAATAAAGTGTGCAAATTATACAATCTTCAGCTGTTTGAAAAATTATACATAAAACAGAAAGTTATAAACATAGATAATAATAATTTCTGCTCCCTCTGGCCTGCGAAAAAAACTTTCATAGGAAACCGGTTCCTGGTGCCCAAAAGGTTGGGGGCCGCTGCCTTATATCCACTTCTGGCTATCCATTCTGTTGGGAAAGTGTGTTATATGTCAAGTCCCTTTTTGATATGGACTACTATTTAAAACACATTAATGTTACCTAGCCTGGTAACAAAACATCCACAAACTCTGAGAATGAACCTCCATTCTCATCCTACACTCCAGCTGCAGATATTTGCCACTAACACAAACTTTTTAAAAAGTTTATTTTCCCTGATTCATTCTTGATCTTAGCCAAAAAAAAAAAAAAAAAGATCTGCTCTACGTTCACAATATTTAATTTCCTTCCATCCTTCACTAATAATCGCATCCTTCATCATAAATATCAAAACAGTCATGTTTGTTGATTCATTCTTTTTCCATATATGCATGCATGAATAGATATGCTTAACCACATATTTGAAACAATTCTTTTTTAAGCAGTGCAATATCTTTGGGTTTTCAAATTGTCCAAACACTTTTTCTGTACTTTTGTTCCCATGTGTTCTTTCATTGCATCTAACAGGGTTATTTTTTATGCATTGAATTAATTCAGAATATTACACTATTTTTCTATAATTATCCCTGATTCCTGCATAATCATCTTTCACATTCATAACACATGCAGTTATCACCTGTATATAATTCCATATACTACTTGGATGATTCCAATTCATGCATTTGATACACATTTCAGCCCTTTCATTCATATTTAAACTTACACCTTCTGTTTCCTGCATGCCCCAAAGGTGCTTTTTCAAAAGGCAACTAGACTTTCTTTGTTTTTCCTTGAAAAAGCACCTTTGAGACAACCATGACCTAGATAATATGGAATCTCCATAAATGTTTCCGCATGCATTCAGCAATTCCGCATACAGTATCAGACTACTTTCTTTTTAATCTATCATACCCTTCCTATTTCTCTTGTTTCACACTCATGCAATCATTTGTTCTGTTTTCTTTATTTATAATGCTTACTTTTTACTATTTAATTCTCCACATTCCAAGCAGAAATTTTGCATATGCTATGGCAGTTGCCAGGCATTTAGCTCTGCTTCCATTGTATCTTTGACCAATCGTGATTTTTCAGCTAATGCTTTTTAATTAGATAGAGAACATGGAGACTAGATGACCAGCATTGGTCGCACTGTGCCTCATGCAACGTTATCTGCTTATGGTAAGAATAGTACCAGTTTTTCCACATTATTGCAGCATGCCATAAGTAGACCAAAGGGCAGCTTTACCTCAAGCATTCTCATGCTTATCCATGTAAGGTGAGATCTCTAATGCAGTATTTTTCAACCTTGGCAACTTGGAAGATGTGTCGATTCCAACTCCTAGAATTCCCCAGCTAGGATGGGAATGAAGTCCACATATCTTGAAACTGCCAAGGTTGAGAAATACTGTTCTAATGTAAGACTACCTTGCAAACTGCTATGTGGTTACAGCCAATATAAATACATGTAATATATTTGTATATTTAAGTTGCACACTCAAACTTGTACCTTGGCCCCAAAACATCTGTCCCTATCTAAACACTTTGTACCATTGATTGCTATTTCTTGTGATTCTAATAAGGTCTGTGATGGGGGGAAGGGGCATGTTTTAAGAATCTTGGAAAATGAAATGAAAATATAAACAGTTAATCAACTTGTACACTGAATATTTCAAGATGGTCACATAATTATCAGGGCATATATTGCAAGACATTTCAAGAAATAGTATTTTTCCCCTCAGGATGACTCCAGAACTGTGTTCCCTATTTCCCTCTTAACATGAAGCTTTGAATACTGTATGCTTATTTAATAAGAAATTCTTATCGTATATTCCTATATTTTCAGATTAACTAAAAAATATCCACTTCTTTTGTATTGTTCTCCAACCCTTTTCTCTCTTGCCACTTTTGTATTGCAAACCTAAATTCTGTTTTTTACTTCCTTGAAAACATTTGTTTTTCATTATATATTGAGATATAGTCCAATACATAATACACATTTCATTATATGGGAATGATTGCAAAAGGTGGTCATTGCCATTCCAGTTTTACATCCATTCATAACTGTGTTGTTTTGATTTTGCTTGCTTTACTCATTCAAAATTTGAAATGACTAACCATTGGCTTTGGGTGCTTTTTCTGAAAAAACAGCAGATTCTTACAGCATTTTTGAGAAATTTCTAATAAGGTTCTTGGATTTGTTTAGATCTGGCTAGAAAATAACATTATTTCACCTAAGTATAGTTCAGCATTTTGTTTTCTTGAGTGACAGATTAGGTTGATATAAATCTTTGAAAAACTGAAGGAAATTTAAACTTTTAAAATAAAGACCAGTAGCATTTTTCCTGTAGAAATTGTGTGTATCTATTTCTAGCACAGGCTCTTTTGGGGTGGTTGTTTTTTTTATTAACACCCCCACACAGACACACACACTCACAAACATATATTGTATTCTTATAATACTAGTAACTGAGTTTGATTACTAGAAAAATGCAACTGCTTTTTAAGTGTTGCAGATGGGTACACTGTGAAGTCCCTTTTAGACAATTGGGATTACTGCACAGTCCTAATTGATTAAAATAAAATGCTTTTCCATTTCAGGGCAATTATTACTTTAGGTCATTCTTGTTTCATTGCTCCCAATACAGAAATTGATGAATAGTCTAATTCTGATTCTCTTTCCCTTCTATGCAGATGCAAGGGCAGCCATCCTCAAATGAATCATCAGTGAGCACATCATCACAGCTTTTGCAGCAAAATCAACTGGTAATAATGAATGATTGTTAGCTGTATCACTTTGTAGATTGAGTGACATCCTTCAAAGTATTTTCATAGCATTTTTGGTGTTTTTCCTCTGGATTGATGCTTGAGATTCAAAAATTTTATATATGTATGGAAATACTATAAATTTAGCAACTGGTCTGATGTAACAACCAGACATTCTAGGTTTTACGCATTTTTCTGCTATTGATGCAGACATATTTTCCATTTAACTCCACTGTTGCTTGAGTCTTTTCATTTTCCTTAGGCATAGAAGCCAACATGGTGAGTTGGACCAATCATGCTTTCTCAGCATTTTCACTCCTAATTAGCATCAGGTTTTGTTAGGAATATGAGTCACCTAACAGCTATTTGGGTTAGAAATATATAAACCAGGATAGACATTTTAATACTGTCTCTTTAAGAGCATGCTAAAACTGCAATTGGGTGTGGTTACTCAAACGGCCATAAGATGGAGCCAGAAACCTGGTTTGTCTTAGTCTGAGCCTCAGAAGAAAGTGTGAGTAAGTCTCTGTTTCCTTCTGTTGGAAAGTATTGCCGTTTCTCCATTTTTCCTAAACTGACTGATATTACTGGATTTTATGTAAGTCTGATACTGAACTGTTTATGATACTGGAATTTGATATTTGGATTATCCCTGGATTGAAAAACTGACTGATTTACCTGTGAATGACTTTTGGACTGCTTATCTTGAACTTTGCTTAAACTTTCTCGAAGTAAAAACCTACATTTACTGTACAGTGTATCAGTGTACTATGTATGTATTATTCAAACACTACTCTCAAATACGTCTCCCTGTATGCGCTCATTCTCCTAACGGGGAATTACCTCAACAGGTTTGCAAATAAAACCCTTCATTGCATCATGCATTGGTAGTTTTACTGCAAGAGCTAGCAAGCAAAAACAACTGTATACTGTATACTAAGAAGAACAATTGATTTCAGCTAAATCAAAAGCTGGTAAAACCTGCTCTTAAATTGAAAAAGGAGGGCCTTTTCCTCCATATCTATTTGACTATGAATGTAAGTGTTTGAATAAAATTGATTGGTTAATTAAACAAATTGTATAGCTATCTAACTTATACACAGTATTTTAGAATACTGTTGCCTATAAAAGTTGATTTATAATTCTAAATATCCCCAATGTTGAAGGGGCTGGCTTGGGCTGATTGTGGTTGTAGCCCAACAGGATTTGAAAACTACAACTTGCTCATTTTATTTTAGTGTCAGTATGATTCTTGTTCATAGAACCCATGCTTACAGAAGGCAGACCTATTCCAAACTGGGTATTTTTTTAAAATGAAATATTTCTGAGTTCATTCTTTTCCCCTCCCATTTCTTCATTTCAGACTACCCAACAGCCAACCACCTCTCAGCAGTCTGGGCAATACCAAGTTCCACAGCCATCAGCTTCCACTGGAGCTGCTCCGTTACAACCAGTAACACAACAAGCACAAGTAATGCCTATGCCTCAGGTACCTGCTGGGGACACAAGCAAAGCAAAGCTAGCTGGGGTATTCTGGGAGTTAAAGTCCTCCAGGCTTAAAGTGGCCAAGGTTGGAGACCCCTGCTCTAGGCTATCTAAAGTTTAGATTTTTACTTTCATGTGGATAAAAAAAAACACAGACTAGCAGGATATATATTGTGTGGAAAAATATAATTAAGATGTGTTAATTATGAAGTCAATGAAAGGGAAAGACTTGCCTGCATGAGTTTGGACATGATCTAAAATTATGTAATAGGCTGGTTTTTGAAAAAAGTAGAGTGCCGTTGGTATGTATAATTTCGAGAGTATTACCAATAATCTAATACTGAACATTCTTTAAAAATGCTCTTTCCTATATACCTTTTCTTCTTCTTTAATCTTGGCTAAGAAACCTTCCTGCTAGTTTTACCAAATATATTTTTATGCTCTCTTACTCAGTAAAATGTTACATTTTTTTCTTTCTTGGACTAATGCAGTAAGAACATGCTTCCTGCAACCCTGCTTCTTAAAACCCTATTTCTATTTTTCTTTACCTCCCCAGCTTCCTGTTTCCCAAACAGTGCCGATCATCCAGGGTGAATCACAGTCACCTATGGGAGCACCTTCCCTTGCTCAGTCTTCAGCTGGCCCAGTCATGTCTCATTTCCTCCCAGTGGGACAGCCCATACAACCACCACTTCTTCCACAGTTCTCAGCTTCTCAGATGCCCATGCCAGCACCTCATGTGTCTGTGGCTCAGCCGTGCTTCCCATCTCTATCCATTTCTATGGCAGCTGGCATTAACCAGCCATTGCTAACTCTGGCTACATCTGCTGCAGCAACTGCTATTCCTGTGGGATCAACTGTTGTCCCTAGCCAGCTTCCAACTCTCTTGCAACCAGTGGCTCAGCTGTCCAGCCAGGTGCTCCCACAGCTTCTTCAGCCAGGTGTTCAATCCATGGGATTGCCTTCTACTCTGGGACAAACTGCTGAAGTTCCACTTCCAGCTACAGATGCTTTGTACCAGGTATTTTGAGAGTCAAGCAAAAGTCCCACTCTGTAATCTCATCGGTTCCCCAATGTTTTAATTCCCATGAAAAATTTTGAGTATCAGAGCTCTGCTTTACATGGAAGAATAAATAGGAAAAGATAGCTTATCAGCATACATGGGAATCTTCTGATTTAAAGCTAAAAACTGTCTAAAAACTGGACCCTTTGTTTTAAAAAAAGCAGTGATGGTTTTATTTTAAAAAGTAGCATCTATTAGTTAATAGTGCAAAGGCGGTTACTAAAGTCTAAAAAAGTTAAAATTACTATTTAAATTCCATGTATTATCTCATGCTTAAATATAAGAAGGGATGTATAATAATTCAGATGCTTCCTTAGAATTGCTTGAAGAAAGTGACAAGTTACTAAGATATTTTTTTTAAAAAAAATTGGCTATTCAGTTTTCACCTCCTAAACTGGAAGGTATGATCTACTGGGAGAACAGACAAGATACTTTTGTTTGGTTGGTTTTTTTTGTTCTGTAATGTTCTCTGTTGCTTTTTACATTGTGAACATATGCTCAGCATATTCTCTCTAATTTTAGAATATGAAAATACAGTTTGCTTTATATTTTGCCAAACACACCTCTAGAATTTAAAAAACAACAACTGGGAAGAGGGATCAGATGAAATATAGAAGTTTTTGTTTTTGTTTTTAACTTTACCATGAGTAGCATAGTTCACCTTGACGTTGAAGTGTTTGCAGCTGAAAGCTCTTCTTTCAAAGAAGAGTAGTTGCTTGCTAGAGATATAGGCTGCATGATGGCTTGGAAGGTAAAGTTGTCCCTAAGGCTATATGCTCTGGAGCTTCTGAAATAAGACTTAAGTCTAAATTGGTGGTTGGGCAAAAAACACACTTTTAACAACCTGGCTTGCAATTTCTCCTTTCTTGTCTATTTCATACTGTTTCATACCAATCACACTAAAATAAGCTAACATGGCTTCCTCATTTGTCACAGGGCTTCCCATCTCGGCTACCAGCACAGTATATTGGAGACTCAAATATTGCTTCCTCTTCTGTGGCTTCTGCTTGCCTTCCTTCTGCAGTATTGTCCCCTCCTTTACCCACAGAAGCATTGGCTCAGCCAAGCTATCTTGCTGCGGTAGGGCATCCTTACATGGAGCAGAATGTTTTAGTTTCTTTGGGCAGTCTAGGAGGACAGGTTCAAGTGCCCCAGTCTGCTTCCACCCAGCAGACAGCATTAGAGGTAAATGGATGAACTGCATGTTGTTGGGAATGTGCTTTAGAAACGAAATTTCAAAGCATCAGTTATAGATCCGGTCCCGTTTTCAGATTCCAGCTAATATTGTATGTTAACTTTCAAATGAATTTCTCTTACAGCAGAATGTGATGCCAATGTGGAAACCTTGTTGCCCCTGGCTGTGCTGTTGGGAAGTGAGTGGGCCTCCCAGATGCAAATTACTTGCTAGTACTTCTCTCCTGGCTAGTAATGCCCTTTAAATAAGATACAGATTCTCAGTAGTACCTGGAAAGAAAAAAAACTTTCCTCAGAACTCTTCTCTGCAGCCCTGTTATTAATGGAAGAGATTTGAATTAGCCCTGCATTCTTCATTGGCTTTTCTTTTGCACATTCTGCTAAGTAAGATTTCTGGTTGCATGGCAAGCTTTGATGTCACATTAATCTCATGGTTGACTTCTTGAATTTGCACGAGAAACCCTCTGAAAGTTAACAGTTTGAATTCACTTAGATGCTTTAGAAAGCTTTTCAAAAGCTTCTAGTTGCATAGATGATTGGACTATGATATCAAATTAAAAGAAATCATTTAAGAAGGTAACTGAATGTTCATTTTTCTCATTGCAGGGTACAACTCCCGGAATCACGCAGATTGCACCCCCAGAGCCTCAGCCTTCAATACAGCAGCAACCTTCACAACCAACTCCATTAGTTTCTTCAATAGACAGGTAAATAGTAAGCTACTGCTTTTGAAAGACAGTTGCGATAGCAAAGAATCTGATTTTCTTATGCTCGGGTTTGACAGTGTTTTTAGTTAATTTTGCATGTAAGCTAAAACTGTGTTTTTCAATTTGGAATCAATTTTCTGAGATATTTAGAGCATGCAGGAACCCAATATATTCAGCATAATCACCTAATAATAACTTTCCTGTTACTCTTGAAGCAGATGAAGCTTTCTTAAAGTAGATGATATCATACAGTAGAAAACTGCATAGTATTTATAATTTATTGGGCTGTTGTGGATAATTCATTTTTGGTGCATGCTATTCTGTTCTTTGAACAAAACTCCCACCTCCTGAGTTTTCGTCCTAGTCCTGGAACAAAACATTCTGATTTTGTTCTAAATGTAAAATAAAATTAGGCCGTTCCAGTCTGTTCTAAGCGTCCTTATTGGTTTGTTAATTTCTGAGTCATGGTTAGCTTCAGGGTTTGTTTTTTTTCCCCTTTTTAAATATGCTTCTAAGTTGACATTGAAGGTATTAGTTCTGTCCCTAATGCTCTTGGCTAGGACTGACGGAGCAAGGAAGAAAGATGGTTGGAGAAAATGGCAGCTATAAAAATCATATGTTTAGGCTCAGAGGAACCCGTGTTGATAATAACGTTGAGGTTTCAAATTCTAAGTTATTCAAAATAGCTTCTTTATTGAATGAAGGCAAATATACATTTCTCAGGATTTCTCATTATTATTTTTGGTTAAATATTCAGAACATTTTCTGTTTTATTCAGTATGAAATACAAAAATCTCAAGGGATTCTCTCCCCCCACCCCCCAAAAGTATGAATACTGTAGTTATATATATGACAATAAAATTTTTCAATTGTTTGGTTATTTGCCTTGCTGAGAAAGTATATCCCTACCATAACTACCTAAAACAAAGAAAATAAGACCTGCAAAACCAATTTCATTTGTGAAATGGAAAACATTGCTAACATTATTATTTTTTTCTTTTTGTTTTAGTGCTCATTCAGATGTTGCTTCAGGCTTAAGTGATTGCAATGAAAGTGTTTCAGCATCTAGTGGTAGACACGAAGGGAGGACTACAAAGCGGCATTATCGTAAATCAGTACGCAGCCGTTCTCGACATGAGAAATCTACACGTCCCAAACTGAGAATTCTTAATGTGAGTTACCTGTTTGTGTAATACATATTGTATTGATTAAAATATAGTACTAAGTAGTTTGGGATTACTCTGTCAAAGAAGCTGGTTCCTACCAAGATAGAAATCAAAAGCTCACTTTTTCCAAAGGGGTAGGGGAGGGTGAGATTTAGAGGTATCCTATTAATATATTTTATGACTTATTGTAAGATTTACAAATATATACAATTGTAGTGTTGCTATCATTGTAAAATAATTAGTGAAAATAATTATTTGTCACTATGTAGGCAGATTTCCCCTTAATTGTTGCCCAATTAATGTGTGCATGAAATGCTACTTTGTCTTTGCTCTCAAACCTAAATCTCCTGTAGGCTTCTTGTTTTGTTAGAGCAGGGGTGTCAAACTCGGTTTCATTGAGGGCCACATCAGGGTTGTGTTTGACTTCTGGGGGAGGAGGTATGTGTGGCCAAGGTGGGCATGGCCAGATCAACATCATTCATGTTGGCGGCGCCTGTGGTGGCCTGACTGCTCTGCCAGTGAAAACGGGCTCCCGAGCTCCGTTTTTGGCTGCAACGGCCTCCTGCAACTCTCTGCCAGCAAAAACTGAGCTTGTGAGGGCGGCTCTACAGGCCAGTCCTTTGCTGTTTCCAGGGCAGCCCTGCGGGCCAGATCTAAACACCCTGCGGGCCAGATCCAGCCCCTGGGCCTTGAGTTTGACACCCCTGTGTTAGAATGTTCATTTTCTTTTTCTTAACGCACTTTAGACTGGTGGCTCTGCTTCTCTCCTACACATTACTTTCTGAGCTAGAAAGAGGAATTTTGTCCCATTTAGACGACTACTGGACACCATTGGTTAATAAATACTGCACTAGATAACTGAGCTCAGCATATCTGTAGTTGATCTTCTGTATTCAATTTGCATTTTGAAAACCATTCTGTTTTTCCAGGTTTCAAATAAAGGTGATCGGGTTGTGGAATGTCAACTAGAAACACACAACAGAAAAATGGTTACGTTCAAATTTGACTTGGATGGTGACAATCCAGAGGAAATCGCTTCTATAATGGTAAAATAGTTCATATGAGGACTTAGTTCACTGTTAGCAGCATTAGTTTTAGTAACCTACCCTATCAGATTACTATCTCCAAAATTTTAATTTTAATTTTGGTACATTTCCTCCTCTACTTCCGAGACAATTGCAGTTTCTACTTTCTGCTGAACATTCAGCTTCTTTGTATTAAAATGGTTAAATCAAAATTTGGATTGCAGGGATTATTGCCTTCTCCCCCTAAATTATCATTTATTTGGCAAACAGCTGCTTTAACAGCTACTGTTTGAAATTCTGAAATCAGATGTTACTAAGTAGTTTTAGTTTGGTGACAAGCCCCCCCCCCCCATTACTAGTATGTGTTTGCAAAAAGGTATAGCATCATTTATAATAAATGTTTAATGTGTTTGTATTGCTTTTCCTTTTTTAAAACATGTTAATCCTTAAAGGAGAAGAAATTAAAATAGTGATTTATGGTAAGCAATGAAAAGTGACAATTGAGAATCTCTATGCCAAATATAGATGTATCTGGCTCTAGGGCTGCCACTGAGCTGCAGACATCCACGTGATCACAAATGGATGGCAAGGTGATACAGAAAACTGTTGCCAACTCAATACAGTAGTTGTCTGGGTATTTACTGTCCAGAATTACAGTTCTGTTAATACTCAATTCAGCTCACATTTGTCCATTTGAAAATCACTTGCCATTTTTTTGGCTAGAAGATAAATGAAGAAAGTGTGTTTCCTAGAATGCTGTGTAGTTCACCTTTTATAGGTTTTCAAGGAGAGTGTTGCTGTTTGCTCCAGAAGATCACCCTGTAGCAATTCTATAATTACTGTAATTCCAATTTTATATGCAGGTGCAAAATGAATTCATATTAGCAATAGAGAGAGATTCATTTGTTGAGCAGGTTCGAGATATTATAGAAAAGGCAGATGAAATGCTCAATGAAGATCCCAGTATGGAGGCAGAAGGTGATCAAAGTATGGATGGTATGCAGAAGCAGGTATGGGTCTAGCATTTATCTTTAAAAAAATCCTATTCTTTTTGTTTTTGCAAAGCAATCTTAGCAAAAGATATTTATAATCTGAAATTGAACCATCATATGAATAATTGTGGGTCCTTTTTTCTCTCTCTCTCAGCAGTATTGTCCATTTTATATCCCTTTATTGTAGGTTTTATTTCCTTCCTTTCCTTAAGGTCTTTTGCTTAGTTTCCAGAGACAGGAATGTGGGTATAAGTATGGCAATCAGTGGCAAGTTGCCTGTAGTTTAGAAGTATGTAGACTTCAACTTTCAGAATTTCCAGCTAGGGTGCAGTCCATACATTTTAAATTTCTGAAGGGTGAGAAACACTGACACAGAAAGGGGAAATTATGAGGAAGAAAAAAGGACTACAAATTTAGTGTATCTTAAGGTTAAATAATGTGTCTTAAAGTGCCCATCTGTAAGCAATTAAGGAAAAAGAGAAATGTAATGGAACCTACCAGTCTTTTAGAAAAGATGATTGAATGTCCCTCCCTCCATCTCATTTTCTATTGTTCCAACTTACTGAATGGCCATTTCATTTTATTTACTGTCCATGTTACAAACTGAAAAGGCAAATTAAGTGCCATGGGAGAAGGCCAGTGAGGAAACTAAAATAGCTTTGAAATATGAAGCATTTGAGAAATGTTTTTCTTATGTCCAACTTTCAATGATTAGATGATTTTAGTATGTATTAAAATCAATAATTTTCACCTGCACTTGAGTTGTCCAGAACAGCAAGCTGGGCATTATATAGATTTAATAAATAAATCTAAAGATACAGTTTTGTAGATTTGACAACACTTAAAAGCAAGACACCAAAATATCAAATTTACAATTTACAATTGAACTTAAACATATTTCAGTGAGCAGAGTTTCTGTTCTGAAGTAATGTATCTTATGAGTAGCTGGAAAATGGAAAGTCTTTTTTAGTGGATAATTTGTTGGATTGTAAGTTTTAGTTCTTCTTTAGGAATGAAGGCCAGCTGTCTTTGGGCCAGTCACTTTCTTTCAGCCCAACCCCCACACAGGCTGTTGTTGTTCTAGGGAAAATTGGAGATAGGAGCATTATGTATACCATCTTGAATTAAATAGAGAAAGGTGAGATAGAAATAAAACACACACACACACTTTAGCCTAATTGTTATGGCTATAATTCTGAGATTTTCCTTTGTTACAGAAATTGGATGGAGACTTCAAGCAACCAGATCCTGTTTCTTCCATGCCACAAAAAATAGGCAAATATCATTTAAATTCTACTATGATTTGGCATTGGTGATTTTGATTTCAACCACCTATTGGTAAAGTTTCAGCCACCTATTTCAGAGTCTTTTCTTATTGCCTGCTCATTCAGCTACCGTTTGAGGTTGCAACGAATGGTACTTAAAACCAGTCCTCAAAGTTCCAGCTGTTCCAGCAGTTGGTCACGATTTGTGATCTTCCCTGCCAGCTTCCCACAATCAAAACCAATGGGAAGCTGGCAGGGAATTTTACTCCGGTAAGCTTCCCTGGCCTCCTTGTGCTCACAGGCACCACAACCTGTTTTCCCCTGGCTCCCTAGTTGGTACATTAACAGCATCAGCCACCCGCCCACCAGTGATACTTCCTCATAGCAGCCCTATCCTTCTTACTTAGCACTCCCATTACCTCCTGCTTAATGACCCCACGTGTCATGGGGTTACAGTGATGATTAGGACTGCCAAGATCATCATCACTTAGTGGTGCTCTCACAGGATGTCATGTTTTATGATTGCATCGCTTAGCAGTGACAATGCTAGTCCCAATTTGTCATCATACATGAGGACTACATGTAGTAGAATGTACGAACTTTGCGTTGAATTAGAAATTGGATTGCATGTAATTGCACAACTATAAACAGTTTCTTTCTTCTTATTTTAGGTGTACCTCCTAATTCATTTACTGAGGTAGTCCACTCTGCTGGAAGAAGATTTATTGTCAGTCCTGTACCAGAAAGTAGACTGCGAGAACAGAAATTTTTCACTTCCATTCCATCAGAATATGAGTTTTTCGATTCGGGTAAGTTAAATAGTATTCCTGCACAAAATGTTTGTTCGTATTGCTTTCAGGCGTAGGCTTGGTTTAATTGGGTTTGTTTTAATTAAAAATGGTGTAAATTACCCTGACCTAAACGTCCATCTTTCACCAGATATCTAGAGTTTGAAAGCATCTTCAAAGATTCTCTTTGTATGACTATTGACATGTGATGTGCCATTTTTATCTATATTGGGTTTTAATCTTTCTTGTCTAAAGCTAACCCAAACAACTGTGTTTATATGTTCAGGATATCACATGACATTTTAAAATTAAAAAACAATCAAAATGAGATCATAGGAAAGATTTAAAATATCGATTATCTCATGAGTTTTCAGCTGTTTTCCAACTTTTGAAAACATGGGCGAACTGGTAATAGTATTTAGTGGTTTTGTTAGTGTCATATGCTCCTGCTTTAGGCTATATTTGCTTTCTATGTCTGTGTACACACACACACACACACACAGAGTATTGATTTTAGAATTTGATTAATTTATATTGTAAGCTATTGCACTTGTTAGGAAGATGGTACAGGTGGTCCTTGGTTAATGACCACTTGGTCAGCGACCGTTTGAATTTATGAACGGTCTTCAGAAGCCCCTCTGTGGCAGCACCCCGATTGGTCATGTGATCATACTTTGGAAGGTCAGCAACCGACCTGGATTTTCAGCCATTGCAGTGTCTATGTCACATGACCATCATTTTTGACCTTTCCTGCTGGCTTTTCACAAGCAGAATCAATGGAGAAACCAGCTGAAAGTTGTGGTCTTCTCAAGTCCTCGCTTAATGATATGCTATAATTCACTGAACAATGGTAATAGGACTGCAGGGACTGCTGTCACTAAGAAGCAGAGTCACACATTGTGCTTGATGACCTCATTGCTTAGTAACAGAAATTCTGATTCCAAATACCGTTGTTAAATAAGGACTACCAATAGAAGTGCAAACTACATTAGCATTTAGCATTCCATTATTATCCTTTGGTAAATTTTCCTGAATATGTCGACTGTGTCTTTTTCTTTCAGTTGCTTCCACATCTCATGGTCCTGGGATGAATCTCTCGCATTCTGCATCATCACTCAGTCTGCAACAAGCTTTCTCAGATCTCAAGCATATGCAGCACACTGAAGGACCTAGCACAGCTCCCCCAGTTTTTAACCAAGCTGTGCCTCCTTTTCCTACTGTAGCTTCAGGTGCCAATGGGCTGCCATCTACAACTGTAACTGCTGCTTCTGCATCCCTCCCTCCCTCCATTAGTATTTCTTTATCAGCAACTCAGTCCACAGAAATGGGGCTTCCAGCGAGTGAAGAATTGTCAGTCCCAAGCTCTCCACCACCAGTATTGCCTGGGTCACAGTTAAACAGTGGAGTAGCTTTGAGTGTCAGCACACCTTCATTTTCATCAACAACTGTAGTCCAGGCAGCTTCTGCTACTGGAGAAATTGTTACTAGTATTAGCACGCCTGCTTCTCTGACGTTGCCACAAGCTGCAACAACAGGGCCCAGTGTTACAGAATCAGGTGTTATGGCGCCATCAGTGCCATCCCAGCAAGTTGGTAGTGCTGTTTCAACAACATCTCAAACAGTTCCTGTATCTATGGCCCAGAACGTTGTTTCACAGTCTTCTCAGTTGAATACCAGCACTTCTGTTCCCAGCCTAGCAAAAATGGTAGTGGTTAGTGTGTTGCAGCCAAGATCAGAAAGTGAACAGGCATCAGAAAATCCACAGTTGTGCCATACAGGTGAAGTACCTGTGCATGTTTCTGTACCAATACTCTCTACAGGAGCCTCAGGTACATCTCGCAGCAGCTCCCAGCAATCTGTGGTACAGCCATTACCCGTCCCACCTATAGTTACCTCATCTAGCTTTGCAACATCATTGGGTGCAGCCTCTACCCCAGTATTACCCCAGGTCCCTTTGCCTGGTGCCCTACCACTGGCACAGCCAGTAGCTAATATACCTGTTGTCCAGCAGACTTTAATACACAGTCAGCCTCAACCAGCTCCATTACCCAATCAACCCCATACTCATTGTCTAGAAGGGGATATTGACACCCAGCCCAAAGCACCTGGCATAGATGACATAAAAACCCTGGAAGAAAAACTACGATCCCTCTTCAGTGAACATGGTGGAATTGGAACAGCTCACCCCTCTGTGTCCCTGGAAACATCCTTAGCAATGGAGGCCACAGCCATTCCCGGCTTACCAAGTACTACTGTTGCACCCACAAAGCCTGTGGTATCCATTACAAGTACCAGTATGCCACCTGCAAGTTTGGTGCTTGGTCCAACAGGTCTTCCTGTCATGACACCAGTTGCCACTCCAGGACAAGCAGGCACCCCAATTAGTTCTGTCTCAGTGACGTGCTGTCCTGCCACAGCAACAACTAAACCTGGGACGCCTCCTTCAAAACCACCTCTTAGCCGGGCATCGGTAAGGAATCCAGTATTTTTATCGTAACATTTTAAATCGTGTCAGATGAAAAGCCTGCTAAATATTTATCTATCTTTTTGTTCAACCTTTATAAGTTTTTTAATGTCATTTTAGTTCTTTGCTAAATATTATAAATATTAGTGCTTCCTGTATGTCTGCTTAGAAAAGCAAAGCAGAAGAGGAATAATAGATATCAAAAGTTATGAGTGAGGTGAAAGGAGGTGGATAGAGATTTTTTTTTACCTATTTTTAATAAAATTTTGGTTCACTCAATGGAATGGTAGGGAATTTGGGTAAAAGGTATTTCACAATACCACCCATAATTATATTATATAAATTACCACAAAATACTGTGATAGCTACCAACTTGGATGGCTTTAAACCCGATAAATTTATGGAGAGCTAAGACTATGGTGACTGAATATCATCATAGCAGTGTACTTTGTAAAGTCATATATCTGCCTCCTCAACTAATCCAGTCTAATGGTTAAGGCACCAGGTTACAAACTAGGAGACTATGAGTTTTAATCCTGTCTTAGACATGAAAGCCAATTGGGTGACTTTAGACCAGTTACTCTCCCTCAGCCCAACTCACAAGGTTATTGTTGTGGGGAAAATAGGAGATGGAAGGTGTATTAAGTATGTTTACCACCTTGAGTTATTTATGAAAATAATAAAGGTGGGATAAAAATAAATAAAATCTATGTCCTTGCTCCATGTTCAGTGACTGTCCGAAATTATGATGGTGCTGACAAGTGAAGTCAATGGATAACTGGAAGGAAGTTGTGTAAGTTGGGGTCAGTTGAGGTTCTTGCTATGTGACCTACAGGGTTCTCCTAATGATGCCAGAACAGCCATTGCTAACCAATCCGGTCTCTGTACTATAGCTATAATTCTTTGAGTGATCATAGGTACATTCATGTGACCCTTTCCCTGCTGAATGTGCTTACTAATGGCACATTTATTTATAATGGCCTGGAACTGAGTAATTACCAGGAAATTGAATGCAACAGGATGGAGTCTATGTCAGGCTTCAGTAACCAAGGAAGACATGTTAACATTTTTCTGAGCAATTTTTTTCATTGCTTCTTACCTATAGACAGAAATCTTGCCAGACTAATGCATTCCCTTCCTCCTGGGAATCTGGACAACATTTCATCACAGTCTATTTTTGAAGGGTAGTTTTCTGCCAATAAAAACTCAGCCAAAGTATGTTTCAGAATATTGGTTTTTGTAGGAACATACCCCATACATGTGAATCCCTAGATCACCACTTTAAGATCTGCAAACACAGCTGAGTAATTGCTGTCTTCATTTAAATATTTAGTGGGAGAGATTATAAACTACATTTCTTTGCCAAATTAAAAAGAACATTCATGCTGTTGAACACGGGGAAAACGAACAGGTTGCAGGAGTTTGGAAAAACTTGGATGGAGATTTGAGTTTATTTTTAAGTTTCTTGAAAACAAAGGAAGATCAAATTAACTCATACTTTTTTACAAGGTTCCTTCATGATAACCTTTGTGTTTTCTTATGTAGAGTTAAACATTCCCCCAATATATAAAGATATATTGTAACAACTTCTAATGTTCTTTCTAAAAAAAAAAAGAGGTATAATGAGGTATAATTCCAGACTAAGTTTTTTACAGCTACCTATTTTTGATGGAGGAGTTGGAGGGAGATGTTCAAAACTCTTCATTCCATTTTTCAGACTCACTGCTATGGTATTATGTATAATGGAACTATCCAGAACATTTTTGTTAGGCTGATATTTGGGTGCATCTGTTTTAACAAATGTTGGTAACATCACTTTTCCCCTCTTGAATTTGCATGCTCCAGTATCTTTTAATAGAACAACCAATTTTATAGTTTCCTTCAACATATTTGTTAATGTTCTCCTTCATTTGCATGGTAGCTAGGCCAATCTCATGAACAGTTCAAATAATTGTAACCTTCAGCTGTAACCTGACTCTAGCTAATCTTGCTTTGAATGTATTTGTTTTTGAATTAAGCATATGAACAACTACTTATCCAAAGAGGTCTATCTAAACAATACATGTTCAAACCCCATGTAAGATACAGATGGGATTTAAAATAATAACTATTCCCTCAGTGCTTCTTATTAAAATACTAGTGGTGTGCATTAACAATTTGGAGTTCATTTTGTCACATGGAAAATTTGTCCAAATTAGCTTGGGTTAGAGTTTACCCAAGGTCTCTCTAATGAGATTTTCGCCTTTCATTGATGAGCTGGTGATAGCTACAAATGAATATGGCTTGTTTATTTTTTTAACTGAATGGTAAAGTTCCAAGCAAAATAAATGCCTTTAAAGTGATAGAAATTGCTCAGTTTTAGACAAAAAGTTTGACTTTTTTTAAGGGAAGTGTCAATAACTCATATTTGTACAGAAATAACCTATGTTTTCATGAAATATATTCTGCCCAATATGTTTCAGATTATCATCCCACCCCCAAAAGGAATGCACATTCCACTTATTATGATCAAAGCTTGGGGTCTGAAAATGGTTACTTTCTTTGTTGAGGTTTTACTTTTTGTGTATTACTGATACAAAGAATTTCAGCAATTAATCATAACTGAAGTTAATGATGTTCTTTTGACTATTGAAGGCTCTAGAATGAAATACTTTGGTTCCATGTGAAGTTTAATTTTTTTTGCTTCTGTCACTGAACTTTAATTTCATGTCTATCCATAGGCACTACCAGTAGGTTCTGAACTCCCAACTGGTGCTCCACCCAGTGAGCAGCTGCCACCCTTTCCAGGACCTACACTAACTCAGGTGCTCTATGGCTATCTGCTTCTCCTGTTTTTTTTCTTTCAATGAGCATGCTTCAATTAAACTCTATTGCATGATAGTTCTTCCTACACCCTCTTTTAACAGGGCAACTTTTTCTTGCATAATCTCACTTAATAATAGAGAGGCTTCTTATTTAAAGGTATTTTTATTTTCAGTCCCTCTCCCAATACAAAATAGCTGTTGAACTTTTCTGTTAATGGGTTTAAAGATATTAAGCTTCCTTGATATTATTGGTGCATATTTCCTTTTAAATGTGTTCTGACGTTTGATGTGTAATTAGTTTGTGAGATGTATTTTCCCCCTTAAAAAAAAAAAAGGTACATCTAGCGAATACAGTCCTGGTGCTTCATGTTCAGTTGGTAATGGGGACTGCTTCAGGGGATTGAGAGATGTAAATACAGTGTGCCTGTTTTTGATAAATAGCCAGCTAGAAATCTTTGGGGCACTTATAAGCAATGTTTTAATAGGAAATATTATCTTCAAAGCCTGCTGATCAGTGCATAATGGTATGAGCCTTTTGAGTTCTATGGATCCTGATTATAGGAATTGGAGAGATCATAAATGAGTCCACACAGATATCCTGATGGGATGCAGAAGTGGTTTATCATTGCTTTGTTATTCTTTTGGGTTTTCCTGTGTAGTGTACAGTTCTTGTCTCCCATCCAAGTACTAACCAGCGCTAACCTAACTTAGATTTGGAATCCCAATCAAGGTTGAACATGTACTTTCATCTGCTGAAAACTGTTGTTAGATACTGTATCTACATACAACTAATGCTGGAGAGGACTATGTGGATATATCATTTTAGAGTTAGCATGATTAAGATGTTGGGCAAGAACTAGAGAGGGTTAAAGTTCACATTCAATAATAGAGACCAACTGAGTCACCTTGGGCCCGTCACACACTCAGAGCAACCTACCACATGTGGTTGCTGCTGCACTGACAGAAATAAGGACAATCCCTATGGAAGTGGCTTCGGCTTTTACAAGAAAGGCAGGAGATCTCCCTCCCTCCCTCCTCTCTCTCACACACATACACCCAAAACACATAGAGAGATAAATATAAAAAGCAATGTTATATTGCAAGATACTTTTAAAAAATCTGGCATGTAGCCTCTTGAATTGAAAACACTGTCAGTGTTGTGATTGAGATGTGCAATATTTCTTAAGTTAATTTTAATGCGTCAGCTGCTTCTTGCTAAACCAGATATAGGTAATGGTTAAACCAAATCTTAAATCTATGCTGGCTTTCTGAGAATCGGTATTATGTAGTCCTGCTTGGGACTATTTAAACAAATAAACTGCTAAACTCTGAATTGTGCAGTTTGTTATATTTTATATAGTGTCTTTACCTATCTTTTAATATTTTCAATACTGGTTCTTCATAACACAGTCCTAGAACGATTACAAATACAATTGGATATGCTGGAAATCTATATGTAAACTTGATCTTGCAAGTAACAATAAAAAATAACATGAAAAGTATTAGTTTGTTAAACAGACAGCATTCTATAGTAGTAAATTCTACTGGATTTTGAAATCCTCGCTGTGCACATTGAGGATAGGGCTCTGAATAATTAGACTTAAGATTCTTTCTTACTAGGCCTTTGAACGATTGAGCCCTAAGAATCCACTAAATCATTAAGGCATTTTCCAGTGTGCAAAGGAAATAGGTGGCATTGGAGTACACATGGATTACCAATTTACATTAACTACTTAATGTAATAAGCATGGGTCAGTAGATGTGATTGTAATTTTACTTGTGCATTTGTCATAGATAATTTGTATTTAACCCACATTTATTATGCAAAAAGAATAGTTGTTGAGAAATTTCTAAATGGCAGTATTAAAAATATAAAGGAGTGGGTAGGCATATTTATATCAGCTCAGAAAAAAAGAGGACCCATGGGGTTTGCATCTTAACAGTCACAAGAGTGGCTTAGTAGACTTGTTAGTATACACCTATATTCTGTTTTAATGTTGCAATACACTTCCAGATTTTTCAAGTAAGGTTGCTATGGGCAAAGACTTCATACATATGTCAAATGCCTTTGAGTATAGCTATAGTATAAGCTATAGTATTGTGGATATAAAGATATGACTGTTCAGATGTTTGTTGAATATTAAAGAAGTTGTGTGTACTGGGAGATTTTAAGGAACAAAGTCTAATTGTTTCTTCCTTCTTATAGTCCCAACAACCTCTGGAAGATCTAGATGCCCAGTTGAGAAGAACTCTGAGTCCGGAGATGGTTACAACAACTGCATGTGTAGGTTTTGACTGAAAATAACTTGAATATATTCACATGCTTGTGACCTGATCCCAATTCTCCAGAAAATTTAAGAATGCTAAGCAGATTTGCTGGCTATATTTTGCTCATATTCTAGAATTGCTCATGGGCCACATATGGCCTCTTGCATGCCATTTGCAGCCCTGTTGACTTTCCTTCCAGGGTTGTTATGCACCTCTAATTTTAAAAATGAAAGTCAGATGTACATGGAGCCTAGTCAATATCAAGAGAGGTGCCCTCAGGCATCATCTTAACTGTCTCATGTCATAACTGTGTCTAAAATGATGCAGTCCAGCATCTGCTCAGAGTTCTTTTCCCTTCGACAAATATGAGGGGTGTGAATCTTTTTTACAGTAGATAATAGAATAGAATAGAATAGAATAGAATAGAATAGAATAGAATAGAATAGAATAGAATAGAATAGAATAGAATAGAATTCTTTATTGGCCAAGTGTGATTAGAAACACAAGGAATTTGTCTTTGGTGTATATGCTTTCAGTGTACATAAAGAATAAAATACACTCATCAAGAATCATAAGATACAACACTTAGTGATAGTCATAGGTTACTAATAAGCAATCAAACATTCTGGAACATTCAGTATTGAAATTACCTGAACAAGCACTGTTTCCTAGTGGTGTCAGCATGCTCCAGTGGATATTCATAACTACTTTGCTTTTGTATCTGCATCTTAAGAAAAACTGTTGTGACATTCAAATGGTCATATATTGATGATTGCCTCAACCTACAAAAGAATAAAAATAGCAAATTAATTTTTTGCTGTGTTTTTATAGTCTGTGCCACCTGTGGCAACTACAGCAGTTACTGGAATGGTATCCACCTCAGAACAACCCACAGATTCAGGTAAGTATCTCTGGTTATTACAATTTCTGGAAAGTAGAAAGCATTTTTCTGCCATTGCTAAAACTGAATGTTTTATTTAGAATTGTTTTGTAATAGGACTGGAAATCTTTGTAACAGGATTATAATTCCAAAAATATTTTCTTTTAGAATTTGTTTACATAAATGAATGAAAAGTTACCTAGCTATTTAAATATAGATAGGAAAAATGCATATATATGTAGCTAAAATGGCTATATTAGTGCATTATTTTTCAATTTAATGTGATTTTATAGCAGGCTTTTCTTCTTTGCTTTAATTATGTGTTTGTAGATGGTTTGGATTCAGTTCTGAAAAAATGTTTTGAAGGTCATGGGATCATAAATGCAGTAGCTAACAGAAATACATTAAAGCAGCTGCAGAATCTTGAAAACAATTCTGACTGTTTTAGTAAAGACTCTTAAATGCTGCTTTCTTATTCCATGTGGTTCAAAATAAGTTTTTGGAATTGAATCCAAAGAATTATTTGTGCTAATAACTCCTTAATATGCTAAACTGGGTTCTTAGACTCTGGAGTAGTCTGGATAGGTTCCCTCCTCTTCTTAGTAACCACTCCATATAGGCACACATGCCAACACCAAGTCAGCCTGAGAGCCAGGCCTAGCACTTAACCTGTAATGGGAGCCATGAAGTATAAGGCACAAGGCAATTCTGTGCCCACTATGTCTCCTGGTTGTGATAGAAAGAGTATTTGAAACCTGCCACAGGCATCTTTAGACCCTTTCAGCTGAACCATGGCAGAGATGAGAAACTGCCATCCACTCTTCAGGGTCCTTGGCCCAGTTTTAACCATCTCATAAGATACTGTAGGGAAAATTAAGTACCTTGAAACCCAAACCAGCAATTCGGGATAATGGGGACTTGAGAAGAGAGAAAAGTAACATCAGAAAGGGAAAAGGCCAATATATCATTAGTGCTCCATATCTGGAGATAGCTCCTGGCTAATAGGTTAGGTAAGGAGAAGTCCTATTAGAGGAGACCCCAAGTTTCTCTCATACTTGTGCCTGATGCCTGGGAATTCAGGACAGCTCCAAGTGACTCCGCTCTCAACTACCCTGCATCCCTCTTCCTTTGGCTGGGGTGAGCAGAGCAAAGCCAATGGGAAGGAGTATAAAGACAGCAAACAGATTTCAGAGAAAGAGGTTGGATGAGGTGATGCGGGAGTGGTGGCTAGTGTTGCTGATAGGCAGGTGGCAAAGAAAGAAGGGCATCTAAGAGCAACATTGGTGCACATATGTACAAAAGGGGCAGCTCTTTCATTTGCAGTGTCACCTCTGCCAGCTGGCCTTTTCTGATCCGTCCACAGAGACCATTGTTTGAAAATGCAGAACCGGACTCCCTGTCTGGCTTGTCCAGGCAGGACAAGGGTGACCTCCCTCAATTCGTTCATCATCCTCCAGTTGTAAATTTTTGAGGTTCATGCAGTATTAGAAGGTGTCCACAAATAAAAGCTTGTTAGACTTGATATAATGGATCACAGGAACATAACAAACTGCTGTATGAAGTCTGATTCTTGGCTTATCGAGTTCAATAATGTCATCATTGACTGACTTAATTTGATATAATTATATGTTTTCAATGGATTTTTCTTTTCTCGGAGAATTTATTTTCCAGTGTTAAGGGATAGAGACCTGCATCTCATTCTCACGTTCTCTTTCCATTCGGTGTTTCAGGTTCTCAGGATGCAGAGAGCAGTAGCACCTCGGGAGTTGCAGTTCTTAAGATGGGTCGTTTTCAGGTACTAGCATGGAGTATTGATTTTTTACAGATGAGTTTATCATAGACAAATGGGTGCTATTAGAGCTCATCACCACTGCCAAGAAAGTTATAATTAGAAACAAAGCCAGAAAAGGGGAAGATTTCATCCTATCCCAAACCTTGTTCCAGCCTTTAAAAACCCAAGGCTTTCTGCCTCCCTCAAAAACAGAAGGGTTTTAAATTTGGATGTTTACTGTGAAGGCAAAGATGGCATAATTACAGATAAGTTTTAAAGGTTCAAACATTGTAACTTTGTTGTAGCAAAAAATGTTCTGATGTACATTTGCTTAGATACTGAAGCAAACATTCTTGCTTGTTCAGTTATTTTGTTGCTTATATGAACAGGAGAAAGACTATATATAATTGTGTGAAAATTACCTCAATTGTGCCTCAGTAAAATGTCAGGCAGAATGTTCTTCCTTGAATTTCCTACTACATTTTCCCTACAACATCAATTATAATTCCTGTTCACTAGCTTAGCTTTACACTATTCCCCTCCCCATTAAAAGTAGAGTTGCATAATAATTGTGGCAAAATAGATTTTTTTCCTCCTAAGAACACTCATATAAGTTATAGATTTCTGTTTCATGACTATTATGTCAAAGGTTCTTCTGTCAGGGTCGCATGAGGACTAGCCTATTTAATGATGGTGGGGATCTTGTTATTCTCAAGTCATATGGCTTCCGGCAATAATTTCAGCCTCTTCTCTTCAGGAATTGCTGTTCCTACCTCTTTTTCCTCCAATTTTCTGCTGATTTGCCTTAGATAGATAGCAATTTCCTAAATTGCTGCTCAGCTAATTTCTAGTTATTTAATTGGGTGCTAGACAAGCCCTTTCATAAGATATTAAGCCTACTATGAAACCAATACCCACACAGTCTTTGATCTTGAAGTCTTCTTCCCTTTGAACATTTCCAAACTTCATAATGATGTGTTTACCTGGTACAATAAATAGGTAAAGGGGAGGTTAACATTGTGTAAACAAGGCAACCCAGCAGTACTGGAATCAGAATAGGATTAGTTTTAGTCCAAAAATATTCTTAATTTAGTTTCTGTTATGCTGACCAATTTATATGGCTGCCCACTCATGAATATGACCGAACCATTAAGAATGTATTAAAACAATAACAACAATATTGGCAAAAAAGTAGAAACTCATGACAAGAGGAAAGAACCACATAGACACAATCCGAATCAAAGTATCAGCTGCAACTAAGGCTTTAGTTGGAACAGGCACCATACCTTCAGCAGTGACCCAAATAGCCCTCTGAAACCTATGGGATCCATTAGTTGACTAATTAAAATCATGAATGAGGGAAGCTTTATTACAAACTGACCTGGCATTCAGTAGCAACAGCCAAAAACCTGGGTCTCTGAGGGTCCATTGGTCGGGCAGTGAGTTAGAGAACAGGGAGCCAGAATGCAATACTAATACCAAACACTAGAGATTCCCCTGATAAATTACCTTATATCAGTGATGGTGAACCTTTTCGGCACTGAGTGCCAAAAAGGGAGTGCATGGTTTGTGCGAGCATGCATGTCGGGGATGTGACCTGGAAGAGCAACTGCCCAGTGGGCATGTGCACACTGGGAAATGAACTTTCGGTTTCCGGTGCACACGTGCACCAGCCAGCTCGTCTTCTGGTTACTGGCACACATGCACGTGCAATGATCAGCTGGCCTGCGCGCATGTGCACAATACAAACTGGAAGATCAGCTCTTCTAGTTTCCGGCACTGCTGCATGCACGAAGGACAGCTGATGGTCGCGCATGCATGCCAGAAACCCGAAAGAGGAACGGGCGATGCCACACGTGCCAGCCGACATGGCTCCAAGTATGTATAAAGAGAAAAACATATTTCAAATTGTCATAGCTTTTTCCATTTTAAGGTTTTGACACATCTGTTAGGCCCTCTATTAATATTCCTTGTTTCTACAATGGAAACAAGCAAATTCTGCTTCATTTCTCTCCCTCGCCATATTACTTTTACAGCATAAAATGAATATTGTCATTGTTTCAGTGCAGGAATCTAAACGCTATATACTTTATGTGTTTCTACAACTAAACTGAATTATTAATATCTCTGTTACAATTAGGTGTCAGTGGCTGTGGATGACCAGAAAGACAGTGAAAGTAAGCCCGAGCACTTTGATACAACAACCTCAGAATCCTCATCTTTGTCTAGCAGCAGTCCAGAAAGTACTCTCGTGAAGCAAACCTCCAGTGGGACAGCAGATAATATTCCTGTTACTTCAGTGGATGCAGTGGATGGTGCACACTCTCCCACTGTTCATTTGCAGCCAACCAAGGTTGGACGTTTCCAGGTGACGACGACAACAGACCAAGTTGGTCGCTTTTCTGTGTCTAGAACTCAAGACGAGGTAACCTGCATAGGGGGAGAGGTTCCTGAAGTGGTCCCTTTGTCCGTGGACTCTGAGCAAGTTTCTTCCCCGCTTACAATTCCTAAAACGGAATTTGCAGAGAGAAGGCCATCTCTGCATCTGAACGGGCCATCCTCTGAATTGGAAGCTGCTTTCCTAAGCGGTGCAGCTAAAGAGTTAGATGACGGTTCAGCGAGTCCTGATTCGATCCACCCTCCTGCCTCAAAAATCAGTCTTCCAGTCCAGAGTCTCAGCAACTCATTCAACTCTTCCTACATGAGCAGCGATAATGAGTCAGACATAGAAGACGAAGATTTGAAGTGTGAGCTGCGTCAACTGCGGGAAAAGTAAGTTTTCAGGCAGGCTTATGGTAGCCGGTGAGCAGAAATACTCCATCTCTGAATCAGTTTTCTTTATCCAATGCAAGAGTAAATAACTCTTAGGACTGAGCATCTTTAGAATTTTGAATGTTTGTGATGGGCACACTCACAAAATGGCTATCATGGGACACTCACCTAATTATAAAATTTCCACGATTACCTTGGCGATTGCAAACCATTAGCCAGAAGTCAAGCTAGTCTCTGGGATACTCATTACCAATCCAAGAAATTTTTGCTGGGCTCACAAGAATTTCTGCCAATAAAAACGATGCAATAGTGTGATTCTTTCACTTGTGGCATCTTTTTACCTCTTTAATTTTTTTTATTTAAAAAGTTTTTAAAAATAGTCAAGGGGATAAGAACTTTCTGTCTATATAGCTTATAGTTAAAGCCCCCCAGATGAAATTTATTTTTTGTTTGAATTATCTCTAGGCTTTTGGCCCAAGGCAAGCACTTAAAGCAGTTAACAAAACTTCAAACCAAAATAAGCAGCTCTCAGTCGCATTTGTGTCAGAAGTACCTCAAAGGCGCTTCAGGGTTGAAAGGATTAGCCGGGGACATCCCTGGGAGATGCCCAGTTGGGGGCTCCTTTCAGTTCCCCATGATTGTGCCCACTGGAGTGGTCCTTATCCACTTGTGATCACATGCTTTTGAACTGCTAAGACAGCAGGAGCTGGAGGGCACGATGGGAACACACCCCGCCATGCAGCCGCACTCAGGTCTTGAATGAGAATAAGAAGCTAAAGAGTTAAAATGCAAAATAAAGATAACAGAACAAAAATACTAAGTATATATTCTGTACGTGTTTTATATTTTATTCAAAAATGAATAAAACAACAGTTAAAATTAAACAGGGGGAAAAATTACAACAGCATTTTTTACACCCCCCCCCCCCCCCCTCAAAATCTGGCATCATCTGAGTGTGTTGAAAGGTCCATGTGATTACTAATTCTGGGAACGGGTCCCACATCTGTACATAGTGTTCCATGAGGGAAGGACAGACTGAAACATTAGAGTCAGAAAACAGCATGAATTTCCAAAAATCCATGACTATAAACTAACTTAAACTAAATTAAGAATTATATAAAAAAAAACTAAGACCAAGAAGAAGGACAGCCTGGGGTCAAAATCATCATATTCCATCAACCACCTCCAGTCCTAAGAGTGTCTCCCACAGGGCCCCAAGCCAATACAGGTTTTAATGCCCTCCCAGAAGGCCAGGTGGATAGGAGCCGTTCCCTATATTACTTAACAGGTAATACAGCAGTACAAAAACATTGGTCTAGGTAATATTATGTAAAGGGCTCACAAATATATAAGTATGCCATCTTTTCATTTGGCAGGCACCTTAAAGAGATCCAGGAACTTCAGAGTCGTCAGAAGCTGGAGATTGAACTCCTTTACACAAAGTTGGGCAAAGTGCCTCCAGCAGTAATCATCCCTCCTGCTGCTCCTCTCTCAGGCAGGAGAAGAAGACCCACTAAAGGGAAAAGCAGCAGATCCAGTCGCAGCAGTTCCCAGGGTAATAAGAGCCCACAGATTTTGGGTGAGCTTTGTAAAAGAAAAAGAAAAAAAAAGCATACGTTTTTCTTTTTTTAAGCTCCTGTTGAATTCACTATGAAAACACCTTCTAGTTCTCAGTATTTGCTCACTCTCTGAAATCCTCTCTAGCAGAAGCGTGGCATAAATGGCGGGACAGAAGAGGGAGGAATAAATACTGAAAACTGACTATGAAACCTCTCCAAATCTCTTCAACGGGCTAGAGATTGACAACAACTGATCTACGTAATAAAAATGAGTCATATCATGTGAAGACCACAACTGTGCTTTGTTAACCTTTTAAAAAAATTTCCACTCATTCATCTTGATTCTCTGAGACTGCATGGAAAGGTCCCTGCAATTTTCTTAGCAAGTTTTTTTTTTTTTTTTCAGAAGTTGCCTGCCATTGCCTCCTTTTTAGGCTGAGAGAAATTGAGTGGCCCAAGGTCTCCCCAGCTGCCTTTGTGCCTAAAGTGGGACTAAAATTCACGGTCTCCTTATTTTTAGCCTGATGCCTTAACTAGTACACCAAATTGACTAATCATACGTGAACACTTTGAACATTCATTTACAACCATAGCCAGGGGTGGGATTCAATTTTTTTAACAACCGGTTCTGTGGGCGTGGCTTAGTTGATGGGCATGGCTTGGTGGTCATGTGACTGGCTGGGCGTGGCCAACTCAACATCATTCACATTGAGGCACGCATCTCCTCGCCTGGCCTCTCATGACTGTGGGGATGCTGCAACAGTCGTAAGTGTGAAAAATGGTCATAAGTCACTTTTTTCAGTGCCATTGTAACTTTGAATGGTCACTCTACACAAGCAAAGTACCAGCAAAGGAGGGGGAAAAAACTCCAGAGATGTTCCTGAGACAGGAAGTCTAGTCCTGCCAAGAATGTAATAAGGGTTAACGGAGAGGCAGTTTCTGTAAGCAACACCAGAATGTTTCCTTCCTGCCTTCCTTACAGGATAAGGCCAGTAATTTCTTCTAACAACCGGTTCTCCGAACTGCTTAGAACGTTAACAACCGGTTCTAGCGAATAGGTGCAAACCGGTAGAATCCCACCCTGACCATAGCCCTCTAAATAGATATTGATGGTTTCTCAACTAATTTTACTCTTATAGTTTCAGCATTAATTAATAGCTAATGCAAACACCTATCTTTCATTAGAGATCATGACTGAATTTTAACATGACGCAGTGGGATTGGAAGCAAAGGCTTTCACTGTGTTACCAATGCCTTGATTTCTGTTCTCCTCTGTCCCTGCACAGGAAACCTGTCTGCTCAGAGTGCCCCTTCAGTTCTACCCCAGCAGCAGACCCTGCACCCTCCTGGTAGTGTCCCTGAAACAGGACAGAACCACCTGTTACAGCCACTGAAGCCATCTCCTTCTAGTGAAAATCTCTATTCAGCTTTTACTAGTGATGGGGCCATTTCTGTTCCAAGCCAAGGTAAATATTGTAGATGAGTATCAGTAATACGGAGTTTCCTTGGGGCTTATCTGCCTGCATCAGAGGATGACAAGATATTCCTAGAGCCTGGCATACCCCTGACAAATAAAATTTAAGAGCAATGATTGACCTTCTTCAATTAGGTGAGAATGAAGGAGTAAAACTTAAGGCAGATGCTGCAAGGAAGGTTTAGCCGAAATAAGATAGATCAACTTGTCCGTGCCACTGTCATTGTTTGAAACTTAAGCTTTCTGGAAGATTTGTACAGTTTACAAAGACAATTGATTCCCCTCTTATAAATAAATAAATGTTGGAATAGGTACAGTTTCATTGTTATAAACAGATCAGGCATGTGAAATAAGGATGAAATAAGGAAGAATGAAATAGTACACTATAATAGCCAGGGCTCCTTCCAAACCATAGAAAGCAGGTCATTGGAGCATACTGATTTAAATCTTACATATCTTTCAAATTGCACAATATTATGTCTTAATGTACTGTTGCTATAATATATATTACTTTGGTGGCATGCAGTTGGATTAAAATAGTTGTGTTCTGGTATCAGAAGCAACATGATATTGGAAACGTGATTATTTGGGGGGAGGGGCTGTGGGGGGGGGAGAGAAAGGTCCTGGTTTCTTGTGTCTTGTGTAAAGCTCTCAATTGGTTGAGGTTCTTTCTCCTGTGTCTTGCTAATGCATTTCACCAGTCCAGCCTAGAGTTCTCTAACATCTTGTAGTTGTGTTCTATCTCCTGTCCTTGTTCTTCGCCCCTTTTTTCTGTTTTTTGTTTTATCACAGGCTGTGTGAAGTTTAACTGTGCATCTGAGCGGGTGACATTCAAGCCTGGTGGCAGGAGGACCCGATTTCTGAGTACGCCCTGCTTGGCTCTTTGTGTGTAACACCTTTACTCCTTCCTCGTCTTTCTTTTTTTGGCTACTTGGATCTGTTATCACATGCTGTCCATTTACATCTGCCTTCTTGTATCTCTCTGACCTTAGGGCTTGGCTGAGAAGTGTAGCTTGCAGAAAACAGTGTTCTGAAAGTGTTACCCTGCTGCTCAGCTAAGAGGTTCTGGTGGTAGTAGTGGTTTCATATGACCCTTCAGGTTACAAGGAGACAACCTTCCTTCCTAGAGCTTTAAACTTCTCTGTAGCATATAGAGAAATAATGGCCAGGGAGAGAATATGCCAGACAGAGAGGTGTTTACCGCTTTCCTAGCGGACACGACAGCTGTGCTGAACATGAGAAAATAATTCACACAACTCTGAAGTGAACAGATTGTTGTTCATCTGTTTGGGCTTATTTTTGTCAACTCAGGTAAACAAGCATGCACAAGTATGAGTATAGCACTGACTGAACTCAATAGCAGTTCAGCAAGGTTAGGGAGGATATATCTGCCCCAGGAGAAGTGCTACAAAGGTTTTACCACGGATGTGCTTCAGATCAAAAATATAATTTTCCCTGAACATTATGTGGCCAATTACTCACAGTTCAGTTAGAAATTAGGGAAAATATCTGATCTTCCGCTACCATGATTTACAAAAATCTAGGAAGGCCAGAGCTGATCTATAAGCTGCAAAAATATATGGCTAGTTTAATTTATAGGCATCATGATCCTATCTTCTCATCATATGAGTCACTTGTGGACAGATGTTCGTGCATGAAATTGGGGAAAAATATTTCTTACTTTGAATTGATTTTAGAGGAAAGTTTCCTCAATCAGTAATTGAATTTTATACGTTTTAGTTTCTGAGCCCGGACATGATCTGTTAAATGGTGATTTAGCCAAGACTGGAAAAAAAAGTTATTGGAAAATACTAAATTGCAGTAAAATAAAAAATTCAGAAAACAGTAGTTATTTTGAGGATACTTAATAGCAAGGATGTGGCTAATTCACATGTATGGGATTTATGTTGGGAGTTTTTTGGTACATAAATATTCTGTGAACTATGCGCCATGTGGGGGAAAGATTTGGGGACCCTAAAAATAATGGAAATGTATCATGCCTTCAGTTTGGCATCACTTGATTTCTGCTGTCCCCTAAAACTTGGCAATACTTGTGGAAGCATGGCTTGGCTTTACTCAATTTTAACAGGTTTTCTGTTTTCCTGAGGCCTGTCTTTTTTGTCAATAGATTGTATAGGGGAAAAGATCCTTACTAGCTAATATGAGGCTGATGACCTCTGTTGCAAATAACACGTCTTTTATTCACTTGGCATAAAAGTAGAAAAGGTTCAACAGGTTTCTTTCTTTGGATGGCACTGACCTTCTAGGAAAAATGAAATTGTTTTCAAGACTAAATTTATTTTATTTTAGAAAATTTATATTGCTGCCTACTAGTCCATGGCGACTCAAGGCAGCTTACACAAATATAAATCAGCCAATCATTGTATCAGTTACAATAAAAACAGCAAATAGCCTCTGGTGGGTTTATTTGTTGTTACTCTTTTTGAAGTCAATTAAAAATAAGAGGAAAGGTTAGATAGATAGATAAATTTATTGTCATTGTGCTCAGGAACCTGAGAACAACGAAATAAGGTGCTCTTTCGCAACATACAACTAAACAACACCAAAAGACATATACAAATAACAATATAAAACAAATTAAAACAGATAACAATTAAAAACTGTTACAATATTCAGTTCAGATTATCAAAACTAATTACCCTATATTATATAAAAAACCCTCACTGCCATAATGTACTTGAGAAAGTCTAAACAAGTATGTACTTAAGTTGATCTATTGTAGCTCTTTCTCTACTTGAAAGTCATCATGCTGTTAATGCCATTCAGGAATTAAAAGCAGTGTCATCAAGGGACGATAACTTGTTGTCTTTTCCTACTCTATCACCGGGTGCTTTATGCTATTTGCTAATACTGTGTTTCTCACTGTTTCTCTTTAACCAATTGCTTTCTCTTTGTGCTTTAGGGAAGATGGTGAAAAAAGTCTGCCCTTGCAACCAGCTCTGTAGTAATTATTTCATTTTTGGTTACCTCTGAATTCTGATTGCTAAACTATGTTGTTTTGTTCAAGGCCATACAGTTTAACCTCCCTGAATCTGTCTTAAGCACAGCACCTGTTCTTTATATACCTTTGTTCCTTCTAATATATATATCTGCATTATTGCAGAAATAGACTTGGACACCTGTTACTACTACAAAGGATAACTTTGATCATCACTTAATGATGTACTCCCCTTCAGAAGTTGTAAATGCTCCAACACTGGAAGTTTTAAAGAAGAGATTGGATAACCATTTGTCTGAAATGCTATAGGGTTTCCTGCCTAAGCAGGGGGGTTGGACTAGAAGACCTCCAAGGTCCCTTCCAACTCTATTCTATTCTTGGAGATTAATCATGAGGCTCTAGTATATATTGGCTCTAGTAAGTTTCATATCATATTAGAAGGCACATTCCCTTTTTGAAAGCAATTTGGTTGCAATAATTATGTCAAAGGGGGGTTTCTGCAAGCACTGATTCAGCTGCATATCACCAGTATGTTATCCATATCTTAAAGGACCACTAGCAAGCAAACAAATGACCTCAAGGTGACCCTATAACACAAGAAAAAGTGTCATTAATAAAGTCAATGAAGGAAATTATTAATGATCGCCTGAACCATTTAACAATTGCAATGATTCCCTTTTAAAACATGCAAAAAAGGTCATAAAATTGGGCAAGACTCACTTAGCAACTGCCTTGTTTAGCAACAGAAATTGTAATCCCAATTGTGGTCATAATTTGAGGACTTCCTATACATGGAGTGAAGCCTTTTGACAGGGTTAAGAAGGAAAGAGATTCAAGAGATTGAATGCAGTGATGTAGCCATAGGGGGAAAGAGCTCTGTTTATTCTTTAAAGATAAGAGCCTATAAAATAAAATTCTGTGATATATGCTGTGACTGAGCAAGATTGAGGGGAGGTTGTTTTTTTTTTATTGACACTGATCCACTTTCTTCTCAGACTCTTCTTGATGGCTGGTAACAGATTAAAATTGGTTACTTTTAACAATTGAGGTCATTTTTGATATGGTATAAATCCTTCTTATTTAATTCTCTTAGACAGTCTCTGAGGCAATTGGGTGCATGCTGAACTGCCAGTGAAAGAGAAAGATTAGTCACACCTGAGAATTCACGCCATCAACTTACACCAATGTCTTGTGGGCACTGTACCTAGCAATGTATCTTTTATGGCCATCAGGAAGGGGCTGAAGAATACCTTCTAGTCCCTGCATGAAACTGATGACAATGCTTTTAGGCATGATGTAAAGGTGGTTTTCTTTTCTTCACTATTGTGTGTTACCTGTGCTGTTGTGTGTCTGGCTGTTTCTTTATCAGCAGATTTAAGCCTATATTACAGCCTATGTCTCTTATCGTATCAAATACTGTTTTGTTTTTTGTTTTGCATGCTATACAGCAACAGTGATTCAATATTACATTCATTTCTCTCACCTGGGCAAAGGATTCCTTTTTTCCATTTTCTTGTTTGCATGTTTACCCTTTTCTGTCTGTTCAGTTTGGGGAGACGGTTACCTCTTATGTCATCTTAGTTAGTCACCTTGCTTGTTTATACAATATTTCACAGTGCAGTAACACCTTGCCTCACTGTTACCACAAATAAGGATTTTTATTTCTGTACTTGCATTTTTATCAGGTCTAGGGATCCAGAATCCAGTTGTTACTGTCTTTGTAACCTTTCACTATTAGTTTCTAAGCAACAGGATCCAGTTGCATTAATATACGATGCCACAGAGACTAAGATTGTGCAGCAGTTTGGATCTGAAGGCAAAAAGTGCTTAGGAGCACACAAGGCCATGCCCATAGAACATAGCAATCCCAGGAAAAGATGTTTGAATATGGAATGGCAGATATAGGCATCTCTGCCATTCATGATGATACAAAAATGGCACGCACACACAGTAACGTCACAGTGCAAATCTGGCCTTTTTTGCTCATGACACCAAAGTTGCAGAGTTCAACACACATGTTTTGTCACTTGTCAGTCTTGCCTCCCACTGAGGATGCATGTGGCTGCACACAAGTGCAACTTGTGGTGCCCCTGCAAGCTCCAAAGTACCTCTTTGCTCTCAGATCCAAAGTGCTACACAAATTCTTCATGCCTTCCTGACTTTTTAAAATAAAACTTAGACTCCAGTACTTTTTTAAACAGCAGTATTGGGAGTACTTTCACACTGTTCTGTTGTACTTTAAGTTCATACATACATACATACATACATACATACATACATACATACATACGTTATTCAGCTTTGTTCGGGTATTTTCCCACGTCATTATAATTGTGCTTTTAAAGTTGTAGCAACGTTTCAGCAGAATCTCATCTGCCATCATCAGGCTTCTGATCACAGATGAACATAATACAGAATATTTAAATTTTAAAACTGAAACAACTGTAAAAGTCTGACTCACAGACGAACACAATACAGAAGCCTGATGATGACAGATGAGATTCTGCCGAAACGTTGCTACAACTTTAAAAGCACAACTATAATGATGTGGGAAAATACCCGAACAAAGCTGAATAACATACATATATGAACACAGTCTTTCTCTTGGTATTATAAGAAGCTTTCTTCACATAACTAATGGTTATTTAGGATCAGTATGCTAATTGACTTATACTGCAATTTTTTCCACATTAGAGGTCCTGCACAGACCTATACAGTGACCTTCATGGGTTCAGATTATATTTTATCAATTGATGAACATATCTGTTTTGATTATGGGTGATTTTTTTCCATAGCACATTGAAGTTCTCAAGACTTGTGTTGAAGTTTTTCCTATTCAACTAACTGTTTCAGGCAATAATACTTTTCCACATCATTTCAGCAGATTTGCCACTGGAAAGCCTTTGGCATACACCCTTGGGTATATTGGACTTTTCTTTATTCTTATGATCTGATTCTAGCAAGTGCCATGTTTTTTAATCAGGAAGCTCTCTTTTTAGACGTATTGAAATCATTCCGTCCCATGATATGAAACCTTTGGAACAAAATAAGCAGGCTTCCCTGGAAGCCACCCTCTCAGTTTGAAGCAAAGGAGATTGTTTGCCATATGTCATTTTTGGTGTTGGGATGTGAAGTCAGTGGGCTCTTAGTACAATTTTGTTTCACGATTCCTGACTGTAACACAAGCGTTTCTTTCCAGTAATGTGTTCTTGAGGTTTCAGATTGTCCATCTGCAGAACAGAGTGTTTATCCCGATGAATATACAATTTCTTGGTATTGGACTGAGTGGGTAGAGTTGGCAAATGGGTTAACTGAGCATAATAGGTGCTTGTAGACAATTGGGAGGAAACTTCCCGACAGCCTTGTTATTAATGCCCAATGTTAATTCACTTGTCTGTGGAAAACGGCAACTTTGCAGACCACCCACTGATCTGAAAAATAACATACAATTACATAATTAACTTAATAGCAGAAAAACTGCTCGCTGAGCTCTAAAATCCTTTTCATTATGTCCAAGTAGACTTCATATGCATGGCTTTTTAAATTCTTACTCTTATTTTGCATTGTAACTCTTGATGGCCTCCAGGGAATTCTATTTCAGTCAAATGTAAATGATAGCTGCTTTTATTTTTCTAGGGACCAGCAGTATAAACACTGTTGGAGGTACAGTAAACAGCCAGGCACCCCAGTCTCAGCCCCCTGCCTCTAGTCGGAAAGGAACCTTTACTGACGATCTGCACAAACTAGTGGACAACTGGGCTCGTGACGCTATGAATCTGACTGGCAAGAAAGGAGGCAAAGGACATGGCAATTATGAGGCAAGTTTAGTATTTGGGTTTTTATTACCGTGGCTTTTTAGGTTTCTATCAGTTTTATATTGGCTTTTTAAAAATTATTAGTATTAGTATTAGTATTATTATGTGCCATCCACAATTCTCTTTGGGGTAGATGGATGGCTATTTAAATTTGATTGATTGATTGATTTCAATTAATTAATCAAATTTAAATAGCCATCCATCTTTCCCAAAGAGAATTTTGGTCACCTAGCAAGAAGAAGTGATAGCAGGTGGACCAAGGCAGTCATAGAATGGACCTCACTTGATAAAAAGCGTCCATGAAAGAGACCTAAAACAAGACAGATCGATGACATCAGCAAGTATGGGCCCAACTGGAAAGGAAAAGCTCAGGACCGTATTGGTTGGGAACATGTGGAAGAGGCCTTCATCCTGCATGAGGATGATGAGGATGAAGAATTAATACTGCAGTGGTGCTTAAAACTTTGTGAACCCTTTTGAATATTCAATATTTCTGCATAAATATAACCTAAAACGTGATCTCAACTCTACCCAACTCCTAAAGTTAGATAATAAGAACTTAATTAAACAAATGAGTGAAAAACATTATATTAGTTTGATTATTTATTAAGAAAACTACATATTTGTGTGAGGCAAAAGTACATGAACCTCTAGGACAGGGGTATCAAACTGGATTTCTTCGAGGGCCAGATCAGCATTGTAGTTCTACTCGGCGGGGAGGTGGGGCGGGGGATGGATTCCTCCTGCAGCACTCAGCCAGCCAAAAATGAGTCACACAGCCTGTTTCCGGGCTGTTTTTGGCTGGCAGAGTGCCCCATGAGGCCATGGAGAGTGAAAACAAGATGCGGGGGGCTCGCACGTGGCCCGTTTTAGCCACCAGAGGCAACGCGGGCCACTCCTTTGATATTTCCAGGCGGATTTAAGCACCCCGTGGGCCGGATGCAGCCCGCAGGCTTTGAGTTTGACACCTCTGCTCTAGGATTATCAGTTCATTTGAAGGCAAAATTAAGAGTCAGGTGTTTCAATCCATGGGATTATAATTAGGTATGAACATGGGAGGCCTTCTTTTATTTAAAGAACAGAACTAAAAGTCTGATCTCCAGTTCAGAAGGATGTAAAAGTGATCGTGACTGGAAAAGGTTAAAAAACTATGTTAGACTCCAGTAGTCCACTATCAGGCAGATTGTGTACAAATAAAGGCAATTCAACAGCACTGTTGCCCTCTCCAGAAGAGATCAACCAAGATCGCACCCAGAGCAAAATATATAATATTCTGAGAGGTCTCAAGGGTAACATCTTCTAAGGAACCAAAGGCCTCTCTTGCATTTGCAAATATCAGCATTCGTGAGACCATCATCAGGACAGCACTCAACACCACTGGTGGGCATGGCAGGAGCGCAAGCAAAAAGCCCCTACTCTCTAAAAAGAACACTGCTGCCTGTCTACATTTTGTGAAAGATGATGAGAATAAGCCAGAAGGCTATTGGAACAAATGTTCTTTGAACAGATGAGACCATAATGTAACTTGGCTTGAACGGAAAGTGTTGTTTGGTGAAAGGCAAACACTGCATTCCAGCATAAGAACATTATCCCATCTGTGAAACACGTGAGTGACAGGATTGTGGTTTGGGTCCGCTTTGTTGCTTCTGGACGAGGATGGCTTGAGAGAAGTGTGAATTCTACTGGCAAATTCTACAGGAAAACGTCATGGTATCTATCTAGCCATGAAATGAAGCTCAAATGAAAGTGAGTCACACAACAAGACAGTGAGCCAAACCACACAAGTTGTAGGACCAAAGAACGGTTAAAATAGAAGAAAGTTAAAGGTTTTGAAACGGCCAAGTCAAAGTCCTCACCTTAATCCTATAGAAATGTTGTAGAAAAACCTGAAGCACGCAGTTCATGCAAGGAAGCCCACCAACACACATAAATTGAAGCCATTCTGTAAAAGAGGAACAGGCTAAAAATGGCTCCAGGCTGATGTGCAGGACTGATGAACTGTTAGCAGAAATCATTTTGTTGCAGTTATTACTGACCAAGGAGAGCACACCAGTTACTGAAAACATAGTTTCATACACTTTTACCGTATACAAATGTTTAGCTAATGAACAATGAACAAATACGTTTTCAACTGTGTAATGTGTAACTGTGTAATTTATGTAATTTTAGGACTTGTATGAATAAACAGATCACATTTCTGCAGAAATAATGAAAATTCAAAAAGGTTCACAAACATTTAAGCAGCGCTGTCCAAGTGCCTTAGTTACTTTTCAGGGTCATACTTGGATAGAGTTTCATCCATACTTGGATGAAAGAAATTTGTTTATCAATTCTCAGATAGCTTGATTTGGGATTAAGTTCTGTTGTTTATATTTGTTTTAGGGTCCAGGAATGGCAAGGAAGTTCTCTGCACCAAGCCAACTCTGCATCTCGATGACATCATCTCTTGGTGCTACTCCTATCTCTGCAGCATCAGCTACCTCCCTAGGTCACTTCACCAAGGCAATGTGTCCCCCTCAGCCGTTTGGTTACCCAACAGTGCCCTATGTAGCCCCTTGGAGTGGGACGGGTGGTCCAGCACAGCAGCCTTTAAACCAGTTCCAGCCTGTAGGAACTGCCTCATTACAAAGCTTCAACATCAGCAACTTACAGAAATCTATCAGCAACCCTCCTGGCTCCAATCTGCGGACCACTTAGTGATTCCCAGCCACGTTGCTGGGGAGACCTTTGGGCAGGAGTTGGGGCCTGAATTAACTGCTATGCTCTATGTGCCCAAAAGGGATGGATACCCCCCCTCTAACCATTGCTCTCTGCACGCAGTAAGTAAAGCCCCCCTTTCAGAAGATGGGGAGAAAATGACCAGGATCCTTTCAGATGGCACATGCTTCCTCTAATTCTTGTATGTGGCAGAATGTATAAAGATGGAAATCACCATGCAAGCCAGAAGCCTCTGACTGTAAAAATCACATGGCTTAAGAGGCTGGATCCTATGGGTTGGGAAGAAAGTTGTTAGCCTTCGCATGAATCCTGGTATGTGATTTGCTTTGTTATGAAGAGCTAAGCCCAGGAGGAAAGCTGACCATTTAACATCATCTTGTCTCTTCCTTCCTTCAAAGCAACACATACCAGTTCCTGAGCGAATGAGCACACAGATGGACATGCAGAATAGCCCAGGCTTTGAGATAAATCTTTCCTGCTTTCAGGAAAAGATATTAACAGCTTTGACAGCAGCATTAGAGCAATTTAAAAATGTTTAGAAGAAAAATAATAATTAAAAGTTCCCTGCGGACATGTACTTACCATCAGTTTTGATGTGGAAACACTGTGATATATAAATGTTGTTGGACAACAGTAGTTTAAAAAAAAAATGAGTGGAGTATAGAGGGTTAAACAGTCAAAAAAGAAAAAATGGGAAAAAAGCTAGCTATATCCTGATACTTATTGGAGACACTTTAACTTTTTTCCTTTTTATTTTCATTGTATTAGATAAATGTGAATGTATAATTGTATAAATTAATGTACTTGAATACTTGTCTGTTCTCCCAGTATGCTTGCTGGATATTTTAGTGCCTTGGACTTTTTATTGCTTCTGCAGTTAGCATCACCTGCCCGGCAGACTTTAGACAGACCGAGGGAAAGGAGAGAGGGAGGTTATTTTGGACATAGCCACTGAAATACCAAAGGCCTAAAACATTGGATGCTTATACTGTAACAGTGTCTAGAGTAAGTGTTGGAGGGGAGCTACTGCAGCAGTACGTTGAGAAGGTAAAGCTATGGAGTGGTGGGGAAAAACCAGCAATGGATATTGGTGGAGGGTACAGAAATGATGACATGTCATGTAACCAGAGTAAAGCTGGGCTGAATGTGAACAGAGAGAGAGAGAGAAAGGGAGGGAGAAGGAGAAAGGCTTGTCTGAAAAGACGGCTCCTAAGGGCAGGCTGACTGAAAGCTACAAAGGGTTTTAGGAGGGTCAACATGTGTTCAGAAACTGGAGTTTTATCACTCTGGGAGCGTGAAAGCCTCCTGGGGTTTGCTCTTCGTTGTCTTTAATTCTACCTAGAAAGAGCAGAAATAGATATTCCACATTGCGGGTTTCATTGCCAAGGACAGATACACTTGAAACACTCAGAATCAAAAAATAACGTTGTTTTTGTTCAATGTCTAAAGGACTTAAAACTGGTACCAAGACTGTAACTGTGTTGCCTTCTACTAGGGGTGCTGTATCACCTACTTTCCACTCAAACTCGGTTTCTAACTCAACAGACAGGTTCTCTATTCAAATGAAATACTGCAACCAACTAGTATTACTCTATATTGCTGCAGCAGGCCGTGAAGGGTCAAAGTACTTCTATTTTGTATTTGGGAGTAGCTTTACTGCTGGTCTAAAAGTTTGTATACTAAGTAAAAAAAAAAAAGGTCTCTCCCCCCCCCCCCTCCCCAAAAGATCCTTTAAGGTTAGCAGGGAATTTGTTTATTTCTGTACTTGTTCACGCTACCCTCAAACATATATGCACAGGTTTGTCTTTCCATCCCTTTGTCTCAAGTTGAAGTTTAGAGTGGCTTTGTCAGGAAGGGAGGTCTCGGCAGGGTGGCTGGAAAGCAAAAGACGGGAGTCTATAAGGTAGCTGGGTCCCAACCTCTTTTCCGACTTTAAAGTCCCCATTGTGACGGAATATGGGAAAGCTCTGTTAATGGAGAAGCTTTTACTTTCCGAGTTGGCGGCCCATTCTTCAAAACAAAACAAACATGAGTTAATATGCAGAAAGTATAAAGAATCAGTGATGAAAGGTGCCACTTCATGGTTAGAATGGTCAGCTGAGTGTTGCACGAGGATGGTATTTTGGTTTAATATGTTTGAGGTTGGGTTTTTCACTTAGTTACGCAAATACTGGTTTTATTTACCATTGATTTCCCTCCTGTGGATTAAATAACTGAGGTCTAGAAGAATTACCTAATGCTACTGAACTGTTAAATTATTTTGTGTTAATATTACACTTTTGAGTACCTTTTTTTTCCACAAGATCTGTTTCTGAATTACAGATGTTTTCTTTACATTATTTAACAATGTACACTGTAAAAATAAAATAAAATAAATTCAAACCTTGGGCTTCCCTGGCCGTAGTTAATGGTATGTTTTGCACTAAATCCAGGCATTGCGCTTCCTGTACAATTGCGCTTTGTGCTGCAGTTTGTTACCTTCTTTGTAGATATTTAATGAAATCATTCAAATAAACCAAACCTGCTTTTGTTGAGCTGTGGTATTTCATTTTCAGTTGGCATTTGCTTCTTTCAGTGCCCTGAAGCTTAATTGTCAAGCTGCTGGTGTCAGCAACAGTTATAGGACAGATGGTTCATCCCTTCTGATGTCAGGGCTGCAAACTGGCCGGAAACCATCTGGATAAGACCCAAATGAAGAATGCTACGAAGTAGTTATTTGAGCTCAGAGAAGAACCATTTCTCCAACCAATGGTTATACTATTACTTGAAAGGCTTCGTTATATTGATGGGGGACTTGTGATTTTTCGTTTTGTTTCTGGAGACTTCAACAGGCATTATGAACTTCCAAATTTACAGTATGATGTACGTGGAAGGACTGGAAAGTCGCATTAATAACTTCATCATGTCTTAAATTCTCATGGCCGGGAACAAAAATAGATACCTGAAAGTATATGTGTGTGCCAGATCATGCATTGCCCAGTTGAATTCTCTTGTCAGTCTGTTCATGAAGATTCAGTGAATGGGAAGAAATGGTTGCAAAGATTGAAGTTTTTAATTTTGAAGTGTAATACCTGGCAGAGACATGTTTGCAACTCCCTTGAAATTCTCAGTTCCCTCCAAGTGAAGTTCATGGTTCTTCCAGATCTGTTCATCCCTGTTCGTTTTTTTTTTAAAGGCATCATTCCAGAATTCCTGTCATATTAGAATCTTCCTTTTTTTAACCTGTCCTATTGAAATACTTGTAAAGCCTCCTTTGGAACATCGTCTCTGATTCTAAGACATAAGCTCACATCGAGGTGTGAAAAAAGGAACCTTGTGTTGATACTAACTAGACAATAGAAGAGCAGGCCTTAAGAGAACTGGAGTATTCCATCATTTACTGAAAGGCTAATTTACCCTGTATTTTTGATCTGTGAGGACATTTGGAATTTAACAGTTATTTTTATTTTTATGGCTTACGTGAACTAACTTGCACTCTAGTAAACTAGAGTCTTGGAGATTAACAGAAGCTGCTATACCTCTAGGAAAAAGTGTATGTGTGTGTGATCACTGTAATTTGGTAAATCATCTGCTATATGGGAAATTTATGTAGAACTTTGAAAGCTAGTTGCAATTTAGGAAATATAGGAAAAGGAGAAAGGGAATAAGAACATAGAGCTTTGTGCTTGAATTGATTAGAACCAAATAAGATGTGAACGGTTTAGTGTGCTGTTTTAAGTTCTATAGATCTATAGCTGAAATCCTTATTACAGGAGTGGAAGACAGTGGCTCCTCGGATGGTGCTGGGCTACAACTTAGTTCTAGTATAATAGTGTACTCAAACTCCAACTTTTATCTGATACTTTTATGATTGCTGTATGGAATAGTTACTGCAGATCTTGCAATAGTCAAATTGGAAGAATTCCTAAAGATTTCTTGTAGCCAAGTAAACATTTCTGTAGTAATCTTGGCAGTGAGGAGATGAAGGAAACAAGTTAGTTATACAAATAGCCTGTCACTTCCAGTTGCTTTTAAAGAATGAAATCAATGTAACCATTTTTCCAATAGGAGCTACTGGACATCAGTCATATTTGTTGTGCTATCCCCTGCTTCAAGACTGGAAGTTGTTTCTTTTGCCAAAAATGTTCATTCTTTGTAAAGTTGAGTCTTAGAATCTGGAGTGTATTTCTTGACTTGCAGTTTAGCAACTCCCATTCTTCCCAGGGTTTCATAGAAAACCCTATGTGGTTTTCTTGGCAATAGTACATTAAAAAAAACCCACCAACTTCCAGTTTAGTCTACAGCTCCTGCATTTCCAGACAATCAAGTACTGAGCAGGTCCAATGTTGCTTAGCTTTTAAAAATCAGCTAAGGAGTATTTCCCCTTTATCTCTTCTATTTTAAGTTGCATATTGTAAAATAGATTTATATAGGTAGGAAGCTAGATATACTGTAGCAATCATAAGGTGTCTGGCTACTATATTGCTTGCCAAGGAAGTAGTGGAAAATTTAATGTGTCCACTTGGGAAATATTAAGATTGTTCTACAGTCCTGATCATGAACCCCCCCAAAAAAGCATTTTTAAAGCATCCTTAGGTTAAAACCTACTTGTGCCTAGGTAACATACACACAAATAACTGCAACAGAATAAAGGACTTGGATATAAACAAATCCCTAGGTGTCAAAAGTGATAGGAAGAAAATGCCAATGTCTCTTTACTGAAATATTTCATTAAATATTTCAATGCGTCCTGAAGCATCATTATATACAGGATTCATAGCATTCTTGAGAGTTCAAATAATTTTGGTTTAATCTGCAGATCAGAACATAGTGGGCCAATTTTGAAAATTAAGGAAGTTTATTTGAAAAGAATGATCAAGGAACGTTATATAAATGATATACATATGTAACATCTTACATGCAGGCTCTTCCTAAATCGATATTTGTAACATGATAGTAATCTGATATTATCTTAGCTATTGATCAAACAAAACTAACAGCCTACAGATAGATGTTCTAGGGATAGGGAACTTATTTCAGTCTGATGCTAGTGATCTCACAGAAAAACCTGCTTTAATTATCCACCCTTTTGCAACAGAAACAAAAGGTATACTGATCCTATTTTCATATTATATTGCAAAAATTATTTGGGGAAAAGTTGCTCAATTCAACAAAATAGATCGCTAACCATTAGTATATAAAATATATATATTTGTGCAAGTGACTTAAGAAAACATGACAGTTTGATTGCAAAACCAGTAACCTGCGACCTCTCCTATCTACCAAGATGTGGTAGAGAATCCAGAGACAGTTTATGTAACAATATTTAATGTCTATTTAATGCAAGCAACACAATCAGAGTACATGATCACATGAGATGCTGCATTAAATTATAGATTGCAAAATGAATTAGGCTGTTCTAATAATTGATTTTTGTTTTCTCAGACTCTGGTAATGGACTAATAAATTGACACTATAAAAAGTCCAAGATTGATATATTTCCCTTCCTCCCCACACGCACTTTTCTATACTTCTTTCTAAATATTTTCAGGATGTCCCTCTTTCAGTAGGTGGAAATCTTAGTTTTGGTTGATTTTGTTCATCAAAAGAAAGGACAATTATAATTTAAATTAAAAATGGTTTTTCCTGATCATCAAATTCATATCCAGGTGAGACCATTATAACACATTTATATTTAGAATATATCATTACTAAAATTGCTCTCTTCCAATTGGAATGAAGAAAGTTAAGTACCTTTTAAAATTTTAAAATAGAATTACATATAAAATGAAATATTAGGGCTTGTAATATTTAATTCTTTTAACTAGACTTGAAGTGGCATTTAAGCCATTAGTTAAATACTGCAAAGCAATGCACTTTTTTCCTCTAATAAAATCTAGAAAATATACTTTGGTCTTCAACTTTATTGGACTAAAAGTTCTGAATTAAAACCCTTATGCTGAAGTCTTAAGTGCTTTCTATGCAGGCTCCAGTCTTCTCTTTTTCATTCCTTGGCCTTTTCGGTAGGGGCTACATTCAGCTGAAATAGAAAACAGTCATTCACAAAAGGATATTTTTTTAAAAAAAAAAATCCCCCCTAGTTTCTTTATCTACAACAGGAGTATCAAACTTGATTTCATTGAGGGCTGGGGCAGGCGTGGTCAGGGCGGGCGTGACCAGCATGATATCACTTGTGTTGGGGAGGCGCCTGTGATGACCCAAGCACTCTGCCAGCGAAAATGAGCTCCCAAACTCCATTTTCAGCTGGAATGGCCTGCAACCCTCTGCCAGCGAAAATGGAGCTCGGGAGGGCCACAAGTAGCCCTCCCGAGCTCTATTTTTGCGGGCAGAGGCACATTGGGCTGGTCCTTTGCCAGGGTGGTGCCGTGGGCCAGATCTAAGCACCGGATTCGGCCCCTGGGCCTTCAGTTTAACACCCCTAATCTACAATAAAATGTATCCTCTTTCATTTTTCACCAATGCATTTTAAACAATTTTACTTTACAATTTTACTGATTTGCATACAATGCATAAGTTGGAATCACTGGGAAATATAAAGATTTTTTTTTCTCTGCACTCTGCAGGATTTAGACAGAGTTTAGATTCCCATCCAGTTTCATGTTCTGAGCTATCCTATTTCACATACAACATGCCTCATAGTCTAGAAGCTGCATTTTAGCTGCTTTTCACGGAGACAATATGTTATTTATTCTCTCCTATTACATGCATTCATCATATAGCCTAGTTAATATAGACAAAAGTTACTTGTTTTGCTATCTCTTTTACAGTTTACCTGGTAAGTAAGATTTGGGACTGGAGGACAGATGCCAAGATGAAGGTTTTATATTTGATTGCTGATTATTTATTCTTTGCGGGGTTCGGCTGCGAGTCATCATAGTATGGTGTCCAAGAGGTGAGCGTAAGCACTGGGCTGGCACTGCTGCTGTATCATGATCAGTCGCTTCCAAAGGAAAGTTCCAGAGTTCTGGATCATCTGTAATCGGTCAGGTATTAAAACTAAAACCTCAACTATTGATTGTTCAGTTATGTGTCTGATTCCTAATGGCTCTGGATTGTAATGGAAGCTGCGGTACTCGGGGGCAAACTCAAATATGTGAATGTTTAAATCTTGACTATGGAGATTCTCAGTCATCCAGGTCATGGTTATCCCAAAGGTGCTTTTTCAAGAGGCAACCTGACTTCCTGGTTTTTCCTTGAAGACATTTCGCTTCGCATCCAAGCAGCTTCCTCAGCTCACAATATAAATCCTTCCATTCCCCACTATCCTGTCCGAGCTGAAGAAGCTTCTTGGATGAGAAGCGAATCATCTTCAAGGAAAAAACAAGAAAGTCCAGTTGCCTCCCGGAAAAGCACCTTTGGGAGTTTAAAACTTGAGTTTTTCTAGAAAAAGGGAATGTGGGTGAATAGATGGGTAACACCTTTTCTCCCAGTAACTGTTCATTATAAAGGCCCCTGGCTGTTTCTTCCTTTCACTACAGTCCTTCCCACAGTCCGCATTCAGCATCAAACCAGGTGTGTTAGGGAGGAGTTGCCTGAGAAAAGGATGCACATTGTATCATAATAATTGATGCTGCAAATACCATGAACTAATCGCCTTAAAGCAATTTTACACTCACCTGCAAGGAATTCTTCATCCACCACAGATTCCGGTTGTACAGAAGAGTTGCATTCCATGGCAGGGGAAATGGACGGCACTGTATTCAGAGAACAATTGCTGAAAAAGTACAATGGTTACCTGCCTTTCTAAATTTGAGTATTAACAGTATCAAGGTAGGTAAAACTAAATTGCTGATGGACAAATGGCATATCAGAGTCTCCCTGATTAAAGGAGAATCGGTGGTAGCTCAACGGTACAACTCCAAGTTGCTACAGATCTAGTTCCTACTGCTCTCTTTCTTCCCAGTTTAGTTTAGTTTACTTTATTGTCATTGCACCTTGTACAACGAAATCAAACACCATCTTCAGTGCACATCATGACCATGACCATGAAAATAAACACAAACACACATCCTTCACCCTTCACACATTGAACCGGAAACCCCCGACACCACACCAACACTGCACTATACAGCAGAATTCAAAAGAGCTACTACCCTGGGATAGAAGCTGGTTTTCAGCCTATTTGTCCTTGTTTTTATTATTCTGTACCGTCCGCCAGATGGTAATAGTTCAAAAAAAGGGTTCCCAGGATGAGATGGATCTTTGAGAATGCTTTGAACTTTCTTAAGGCAGCGGGAGTTATAAAGCTCTTCCAAAGAGGAGAGAGGGCAACCAATGATCTTCTGGGCAATGACGTTAACCCTCTGGAGTGCTTTCCTATCTGCCACTGTGCAATTGGCAAACCATACAGAGGTGCAGTAAGTTAAAATAATCTCGATGGTGCAGCGGTAGAAGGTCACCAGCAGTTTTTCATTCAGTTGTTGTTTTCTGAGAAGTCTCAGGTAGTATAATCTCTGCTGGGCAATGTGAGCACCCCAGATCAGGTCCCCTTTTATGGTAAGGGCTGGATATCTGATCTGTTATAGTCCATTATAAGCTCCTTGGTCTTATTGGTGTTGAGGACCAAGTTATTGTCTCCACACCACGAAAGCAACCGGTCCACCTCATCTTGGTAGGCAGACTCATTCCCCCCCGGAGATGAGTCCCACCACTGTTGTATCATCTGCAAATTTAGCAATAGTATTACTAGCGTGAGTGGGAATGCAGTCATGCACATAAAAAGTATAGAGTAAGCGACTCAACACGCAACCCTGTGGTGTACCAGTGTTAAGAATAAGGTCTGAAGAGGTGTGATTCCCTAATCTGACCCTCTGTGAGCGGCCAGACAGGAAATCCATAATCCAAAGGCAGATTGAATAAGAAAGTCCAGAAGTTTAGACACTAGTCTATGTGGAAGAATTGTGTTAAACGCAGAACTAAAATCCACAAAAAGCATCCTCACATAGCCCTCCCACTGTTCTAGATGAGTCAGAGCAGTGTGAAGAGTGATGGCTCTTCATGATGATAGGAGTGAGTGCCACTGGTCTGTAATCGTTGAGATTATTGATAGGGAACTTCTTCGGCAGCGGAACAATGGTGGAAGCCTTCAAATAAGATGGAATAGTGGACTGGGATAAAGACCGATTGAAGATCCTGGTAAAGGCTCCAGCCAATGATCAGCACAGACTTTCAGCACTCGGCCAGAGATACCGTCAGGACCGGCAGCGTTTCTAGGGTCCACAGCCCTCAGAATGCTCCTCACCTCCTGTTCCTCCACAATGAGGTGGGGGCTACAATTGGCTGGTGGTTGTATTTTATCTGTCTCTGATGTCTCCACTTCAAAGCGAGCAAGAAATGATTCAGTTCCTCTGCCAATGAAGCATCCCCCTCAGCAGGGATGACATTGGTCGGTTGATGGTTTGTAATTTGTTGAATCCCTCACCACACCTGCCTGATGTTATCGCTATAAAAATTATCTTCAATCTTCCTCTTATAATCAGTCTTAGCCTTCCGAATACCTTTCTTCAGGTTAGCTCTGGCAACACTGTATCTTGCCCCATCACTGGACTTAAAGGCCTTGGTCCTGTTACGCAGGAGGTGCTGGACTTCCTTGGTCATCCAGGGTTTCTGATTGGGATAGATCCTAATACGTTTATCCACAGTGATAGTATCTGTGCAGTGTTTGATATAGCACAAAACAGTTGCAGTGTGCTCCTCTAGGTCAGGGTGGAATACTGCAATCATGTCACCCCTTACTCCTTTTCTCTAGACTAGCCATACCCTGTACCTTGATCTTTAATTCTGCAAGCTGAAACATCTGACTGGATCTGCTGTTTCTCCTGCATCTGCTGTCGGAACTTCTGTTGAAGCTGCTTCTGTCGTAGCTTCCGATGGTGAGTTGTGTTGTAATCCAAGGGCAGTGACATCCTGAGATAACAGAATATAAACCAAGGGGGATTATCCCTGTAGTTCGTTAATAACATTTCCTCATGCTAGATGGCGAGGCATGTTTATGGCATATTAAATTTGAACTCCATGATACTTTCCTTCTTATAATAGCACCTAGCAATAGCACGTAGACTTATATACCGCCTCACAGTGCTTTACAGCCCTCTCAAAGCAGTTTAGAGTCAGCACATTACCCCCAACAATCTGGGTCCTCATTTTATCAACCTCAGAAGGATGGAAGGCTGAGTCAACCTTGATAACTTGCTTAATAACTTACTTGAGATCCAGGAATACCAGTATAAGCTCATGAGAGAGGTATTCATGCTGGATAATAAATTCTGAAAGCAGAATGTTAGTTCATCCGGAGGGCATCAGACTGGAAAAAAAGCTGCTATAGGATATATGTGCCACTTGGATATGTACAGTACTTTACCAATGTTGTACCCACTTAGGAAACATTTAGACCAGGGGTGTCAAACTCAATTTCCTTGAGGGTCGCATCAAGGTTGTGTTTGACCTCCGGAGGCTGGGGTGAGCGTGGCCAGGATGAGCGTGGCTAGCTTGACATCACTCATGACCTGAGTGCCCTGCCAGAGAAAACGGGCTCCCAAGCTCTGTTTTCACTGGCAGAAGCACCGTGGGCTGGTCCTTCACTGTTTCCAGGGTGGCTCCACAGGCCAGATCTAAGTACCCCGCGAGCCCCCGGGACCCGAGTTTGACACCCTTGATTTAGACTATCTTTTTTCCTGACAGAATTCACAAAAGCAATCCTACATTACTTTTTCTTTCCCTCCTGCCAGAACAAAAGTGGAATATCTGACAACACCCAGGAACTTCTTGCTAAATTAAAGTTCAGAATACATTTCACAGCAACTTTCTAATGTCATTATGAAAAGTTTAAAATTTCAAACTGCGTGCCCGAGGGGGAAAAAAAAATCTAATGAAGCTGCTAACCTGTTTTGGTTTTGTTCAACAGCATTCAAGGGAGAAGCCAACTTGCGAGGTTTGCTTGGGGTTGACAAGGAAAAGAACTTCTGGTCTTCACTCCCTTTTTGCAGGCAGCTGTTATATCTCGCCTTCTCTATAGTAGGATCAAAGTCCTGTCTTTTAACTTTGCCCAAATCTAAATCTGGAGGCATCTAGCAAAAGGATAAAACAAAAAAGCCATTCAAGTAGAAAAGTTCCGAAAATACTAGAAGCATTTCACAATATTTATCAGGGGGAAGCTGCTCAGCAAATACCCACACACACCCCAGTCCAGAGGTGAAGCTACCCGGGAAACAAGTGGTATTTTGTGCAGAATTTGCCTCTTCACATGACACTTTTAGCTAATGCTGTAAACTGAGCTAATGTGGGTTATTTATCTGTTTAAAGCAAATTACAGTTACTCTTAGTGCCGTGCACCCTGTAGATCACCTTTGGCTTTTTTTTATTTTTATGACAATTTATTTATTTAAAACATTTATATAGACACTCATCTTATAGCAAACTCTGAGGAGTTCACAATCAAAACTTTAAAACCACATTAAATGTAGAGATAACCAGGCTGTGCCTGAGAGAGGAGTCAAGCACATCATCAGTCTAGAGCGCCTTTACACCCACATGAGATCTAAATCCAGCCCATCTTGAATTCTGTTGACTCTTATCTACCGCCAATTTGCTGTGACCTCTTATTGAGGGCGTAAGCATGCAATCATTTGAACCACACTGACTCCTGAATTCCTGAAAGACAGGTCTTCGCTGCTTTAGGAATAAAGAGGCCTGCTGAACTTTGGGGGAAGGTTTCTATAGAGTGGGGCTGTCCCAAAAAAGACACACTTCCTAGCCCCCATGGGATGGCAATGTTTAAAATGAGGGACTAGGAGCTTGCCCACCCTATCTAGCCTGGCAGAATAGGTCAATGACTTTAGAGAAAGGGAATCCTGCAAATAATGTATGCCTGTGCCATATAGGGCTGTATAGGTGCTAGCTAGCAGCTTGAATTGCACTCAGAAAAAAAAAATTGGAAGTCAGTGCAGCTCCTTTGACAGAGGTGTTAATGGGCTGACCCAGAGGCACCCATCACAGCGCATCCTGCGGCATTCTAGACCAGTTGAAGTATCTGGGTGGTCTTCAAGGGTAGCTCTATGCAGAACACATTGCAGCAATCCAAACGGGAGGCGATCAAGGCGTAAGCACAGCCTCCCAGTGAAGGAAAGGGTGCTGTGAGTCCAGGAGACGCCCAAGCTGCTCACCAGCTCAATTCAGGAAAATACCACCCATCTACTCATCTGGATTTGGCGGACCAAAAACCCAGAGTCATTTCATCTCACCAGGGTGAATCATCAGTTCCTCTACACCCGGACCCTTCCAGCCTTCAGGTATTTGTCTAGTACTGCCACAGCAACATCTGTCTGGCTGAGAGTGGAGATATATCATTGGGTATCACCAGCATTGCAAAGCCCTAGCGCTCGACCTCTCTCCGTATACCAGGGGAGTCCAACTTGATTTCACTCAGGGCCACCTCAGGATTGTGTTTGTTCTCGGGGAGTCCGGGGTGGGGTGGGGGAAGGCCAGGGTGGGTGTGGCCAGCTCGATGTCACTTGCGTCGGGGGAGAGCCTGTGGTGGCCCAAGCGCTCTGCCAGCGAGAACGAGCTCCCGAGCTCCATTTTTGGCTGTGACGGCCTCCTGAAACTCTCTGCCAGCAAAAAAACGGAGATCGGAAGGGCCGCCTGCGGCTCTCTCAAGCTCCGTTTTCGCTGGCAGAGGCACCGCGGGCCAGTCCTTCCCTATTTCCAGGGCAGCCCCGTGGGCCGGATCTGAGCATCCCGTGGGCCGGGATCCTTCCCACGGGCCTTGAGTTGGACACCCCTGGGCTTATACCAACACCAGCTGGAACCGACTGGAGAGGGAGGAGGAGAACCATCCGAACACAGTGCCTCCCAGCCCTCAAGGCCAATTGAGGATACCACGGCTGAAGGTATCAAAAGCCACTGAGGGCCAGGAAGGCTAGAATGGTTGCACCACTTTCATTCTGAGCCCTCCGAAGGTCACTGATCAGCGCGGGGGTCCCCAAACTTGACAACTTTA